AAATCCATTATGAACCCCCAAACCCCAAAACCCGGAAACCAAAAACAGGGCTCTGAGTCCCTGAGATTTAAGGATCTGACTTATTTTCTGGGGTTTAGGGCTCAGGGTCTTCAGGGTCGGGGGCTTCTATCGGGGTTGCAGACGTAGTTTTTGGACCTTTGGAACGCAGGGTCCATCCCTACACTCTCATCCAAGTCACACAGGGTCATCTAATCGGGGGCTCAGATTATCGCCTTCGAACACGAACGCTGAAAGTCCGACACTGTCCCGATACCACAGAAGCACAAGCACAAGTGCTAAGTCTGAAGGCTGGCAAAACAAATCACAGACCACAAAGGTCGGCCCCCGAGAGAAGAAAACACAATAACAAGGGGGACCTCTTAAAAACCTGAACCCTAAGCCCTAAACCTTAACCCTAACCCTAAACCCTAAAACCCAAACCCGAAACCCTCGCAACTCCTCAAAGCCATGGTTGCTGCCGAGGCCACATCCACGAGAGAGCCCCCACACCCAGGGAGGAAGGGCTGAAGCCGAGTTTCATCACCTAAGCTCAGGAATTTCCCTACTCCCCCCCTCTTTGCGATTCCCCCCCTAGGTTCCGCTCCCTTAAATAGCCTCATTGAGGCTGAATGATCCCTAAATGAGTAGTAGGGGAACCCTCAACCCTAAACCCTAAACACTGAACCCTAAACCCTAAACCCTAAATACTAAACCCTCAACCCTAAACCCTAAACCCTAAACCCTAAACCCTAAACCCTAAACCCTAAACCCTAAACCCTAAACCCTAAACCCTAAACCCTAACCCTAAACCCTAAACCCTAAACCCTAAATGGGGAACCCATGATGATCTCGGGGGGTTCAGGACCATGGCTTGGAGGGATAGGGCTTGGGGTGTAGGGCCTCCAGGCGCGCGGGGCCGTAGGCGCCCGGAAAACCCTTGAGCACACATGAGTTTGGGAATAGGCTGAGCCACGCTTCTTTCAGGGGCTACCCTAAACCCTAAGCCCTAAACCTGAAACCCTAAACCCTAACCCTAAACCCTAAACCCTAAACCCTAACTTTCAAGTTTCTTCAGGCAGTTCGAACCCCTGGATGCAGATGCGGCTCCGGATCGCTCAGCTCCACTTTCATCGGCGCCTGTGCCACTGGCGTCATGTCGCGAGCCTCCGACGTAGGGTTAGGGTTTAGGGTTTAGGGTTTAGGGTTTAGGGTTTAGGGGTTAGGGTTTAGGGTTTAGGGTTTAGGGTTTAGGGTTTAGGGTTTAGGGTTTAGGGTTTAGGGTTTAGGGTAAGGGTTTAGGGTTTAGGGTTTAGGGTTTAGGGTTTAGGGTTTAGGGTTTAGGGTTTAGGGTTTAGGGTTTAGGGTTTAGGGTTTAGGGTTTAGGGTTTAGGGTTTAGGGTTTAGGGTTTAGGGTTTAGGGTTTAGGGTTTAGGGTCTAGGGTCTAGGGTGTAGGGTTTTGGGGTTAGGGTTTGTTCTCTACATTCAGGGTCCCTTTTTGGGGTCCCGTATTGTACAGCGGACCCCCGAAAGAGATCCGACTTTAGAGAACTACCCAGCCTCGACTGTGAGGATACGGGGGCTTAAGGGTTTCCCTAAACCCTAAACCCTAAACCCTAAACCCTAAACCCTAAACCCGAAATCGTGTGGAGACTCCTGCAGTACTTAGACGATTAGGAACAGTACCCACAAGCAACCCTTTGGGTTTACGCGACTTAGACCCCAAACCCTAAACCTAAACCCCTAAACCCTAAATGCCTAACCCCTCAACCCTATACCCCAACAGTAAACTCCAGAAAGTTGGAACATGGTTTAAGGAAAATTGGAGCTGGGATTTCCTGTAGTATGTCTTTCGGGGTATGGGGATAAGGATGCTCTTTTTGGAGTTTACTGTAAACCCTAAACCCTAAACCCTAAACCCTAAACCCTAAACGGACTCTCCCGCACCTTCGCGCCCATGCCGGCGCCAAGGGCCGTCGTGAGCTTCTCGTGGGCGCCCGATGGGTCCGGGCGTGTGCTGGGGAGGTGTCCGGCCAAGGAAAGGTCGGGGTCGGACTGGGGACCCTACACCCTAAACCCTAAACCCTAATCCCTAAACCCTAAACCTAAATCTTAAACGCTAAGGAAAGGTTCAGGGTTTGAGCATTGGGCTCCTCCCCAGCTGCGTCCGGCGCCAGCGCTTTTAGGAGGGGCCGGCAGAGCTACTATGAGTATTGCTGACCTTGTTCGCATTGAATTTTTTTATCATCCCTAAACCCTAAACCCTAAACCCTAAACCCTAAACCCTAAACCCTAAACCCTAAACCGTTGAGGGTTGAGTTAAGGCAGGGCTTAGCTGCGTGACCTCGTCGGGCCCCTCCCACAGCGGGCAGGATATGGAAGTTTCGGTGCCCCCCGAATTCAGGGGGCAACGGTCGTATGCAAAGTGGCTACGCGGCTAAGCCCTGGGACGTTTGAGCCCACATGTGCATTCAAGATTTGGAGTGTTGCGGGTTTAGGATTTAGGGTTTAGGGTTAAGGGTTTAGGGTTTAGGGTTTAGGGTTTAGGGTTGAGGGTTTAGGGTTTAGGGTTTAGGCTTTAGGGCTCAGGGTTCTGGAGCTATAGGGCCGCACGCGTCAGGGCTCCAGGGCTTGGAGTTTTTCGTCCTTTTGCAGTGCTTGAGGATGGGTGGGGGCATGGTGAGAGCATTACGCTTCAGAGCTTTGTAGGAGCCATCTAGGCATCAGATTAGGTTGGCCCCGTACACACCTTGAAAAATATCTTCCTGCAAAAGTTCCCCATAAACCCGAATGAGAAAAAACACGGATTTTGCCAGGTCAACTTGGTACCATTCTGGAGTACCCAAGAACTTTGGGGTACCTACTTCCATCGAAGCGTACAGGGATGTAGGGCAACCTCCGAGCCCTAAACCCTAAACCCTCAACCCTAAACCCTAAACCCTATACCCTAAACCCTATACCCTAAACCCTATACCCTAAACCCTATACCCTAAACCCTCAACCCTATACCCTTAACCCTAAGTCCGACTGAAGCTGTCTCCAAACGGCTCAAAGCGCGTCCTACAAGTTCAGGGTTCAGGGTTCAGGGTTCAGGCTTCAGGGTTCAGGGTTCAGGGTTCAGGGTTCAGGGTGGGCTTAGGGTTGAAGGTTCAGGGTTTCGGATTTAGGGTTTAGGGTTCAAGGTTTAAGGTTTAAGTTACAGGGTTTAGGCTCTTCAGGGTTGGAGAGTTGAGGGGGGACTTTCGGCTTCAAAGTGTAAGACGCTACGCCCCAAAACGGTTCCATATAGGGCTTACCTAAGACTAACCTACGCTTTCTGTCGAAAAAAAAACCACAAAATCGAGAGACGTTGGGCAAACCCTGAACCCTAAACGCTAAGCCTTATTTTAGGGTTTCAAAGTACAGGATTGCTCTCGAGTTTGAGGGCTATAAGTGCTTGGGGCTTCTCACGACAGAAACCTGTGAGTGGACCCAAACGATCGCACTCCTATTTTCGGCTGCCGCCAGGTCGCTGCGTTTAAAACTCTCGCAAAGGAGGGACCAGGTCAGCCGGACACAAGTTGGCACAAGATTTCGAGGTGCTTAAGAAGATAGGGCCGCCACAAAAATGACTTGCTTTGGGCCCCCCTTTGCGGTGTCGAATTCACGCTGAATACCCTAAACCCTAAACCCTAAACCCTAAACCCTAAACCCTAAACCCTAAACCCTAAACCAGTACCTGGCTCTATCTACACTGCTCGTGGCAGCGTGAAACGCGCAAAAGGGCATGTGCCGGTCCACATGCTAGGCTTCCAGTCTCATTTTCCACTGGCTCACTGACCTTAAATTTGAGTAAATACTAAACCCTAAACCCTAAACCCCAAACCCCAAACCCCAACCCCCAAACCCCAAACCCTAAACACTAAACCCTAAACCAAGAACTTCGAGCCAGGGCTTCAAGCTGAGCTGGGGCCGTGGGCCGACGCAGCAGGAAAACGAAGAGGGTTCAGGGTTTAGGGTTCAGGGTTTAGGGTTCGGGGTTGAGGGTTTAGGGCTCAGGGTTCAGGGTTTGGGATTCAGGGTTCGGGCTTCAGGGTTGAGGGTTCAGGGTTTAGGGTTTAGGGTTAAGGGTTTAGGGTCTAGGCTTCAGTAAGGTCTAGGGTTTAGGGTCTAGGGTTCAGGCTTTCCAGGCTTCTCAGCTACCAGGGCAGCCCTCCTCACGTTTGTGAGACGGCTCCGCTGGGCTCGGGCGGCAGCGCCTTCCTAGATTTCGGGGTATCGGGGTTGAACAGTTAGGATTTCAGGCCTTGTGTTTGGGGCTTAGGGTTTAGGGTTTAGGGTTTGGGGTTTAGGGTTTGGGGTTAAGGGTTTAGGGTTTAGGGTTAAAGGTGTAGGGTTTAGGGTTAAGGGTTAGTTTCAAGCTTGGGATTTACGGTATAGGCTGTGGGCTTGAGGGCTTCACTCACTACATCCCGAGCCGACCGTACGCCCCTTTCAGCTCGCCCTGAAATCTAAACCCCGAAGCCTTCATCCCGGGCATCCCCCTCCCAAACGAAAAAACAATCTCTCGCCTAAAACCATAAGCCCGAAACCCTAAACCCTAAACCCTAAACCCCAAACCCTAAACCCTAAACCCTGAACCCTGCACCCTAAACCCAAACAACAAACAAGGCATCATGCAACAGGAGGCGAAGACATTCGGGTTTGGAGCGCAAGTGCAGGTTTAGGGTGTTTTTTTGGTCAGAGCTTTAGGGGACGTAAAGCTCCTGCTGATGCATACCCGCCGACTTCGATATGCTTGCAGGAGGGATTTGGGATTCCTCACACTGTGCCCTTTTCCACCAAAGCAGTCTGAGCCCTAAACCAGTACCTTTGAATAGACCCAGGTGCAGCATTCAACCCTATAAACCCTACACCCGAAACCCAGAACCACACCCTAAACCCACAACCCTAAACCATGAACCCTAGATCCTGAACCCTGAACCCTAAACCCTAAACCCTAAACCCGTTCAACAATTGCAGGCTAGGGCGGATGCATGGCGGGCGGCTGCCGCGTGTGTCGGGTGTAGCACTTCACCGTGCCGTTCGGGCCTGGTACGACCACGACCTGCAGTCTTGGTTCGGGGTAAGGGTTTAGGCTTTAGGGTTTAGGGGTTTAGGGGTTTAGGGGTTTAGGGTTTAGGGTTTAGGGTTTAGGGTTTAGGGTTTAGGGTTTAGGGTTTAGGGTTTAGGGTTTAGGGTTTAGGGTTTAGGGTTTAGGGTTTAGGGTTTAGGGTTCAGCATAGGGTTCAGGGCTCAGGCTTCAAGACCTGAAACCTAGTTCCTAAACCCTACACCCTGAACGCCCTAAACCCCAAACCTCAAACCCCAAATCCTAAACCCCAACCCTAAATCCCAAACCCTAAACCCTAAGCCCTAAATCCTAAGCCTAAACCCAAAACTCTTGAAGGGCTCAGGGTTCAGGGTTTCGGCAGGGAATGGAGGCCTTTGGCTCTCAGAAGTGCGTCACCATTCCGACATGCGCAGTGCTGGGGTGAAGCCCTACGAGGGTGTAGAGTTCAGGGGTTTAGGGTTTGGGGTTTGGGGCTTGGGGTTTGGGGCTTGGGGTTTGGGGTTTGGGGGGGTTTAGGGTTTAGGGTTGGGATGCTCCCCTTATACTAACAGTCCTTAACAAGGATTTTTCGTACCCCCAAAATATCCTCCCTATTGAGGACTGGTAGTATAAGGGGGAACATCCCAAGGCTTCTCCATCAACTCTAAGCTCTTAACGATACCCTTGGACTTGTTCCTCGTGTCCATGTTGGCCGTCATCTCTTTGATTTGCTGTTTTGCTCTCAAGCAGCCCTTCCTTTCAAAAGCGCGCTGCCCGTCGGCATGTGTAGTGGGAATGCGCGTATCAGCCTCCCCGCAGAGTGATGGCAAGCTCGCACACGTCCGAGCCCGGCATGGTCGCCTCCATCGGCTCCCACGCTTGAAGCAAGGAGCCACTGCGGACGTGCTTCAGGCGAAAGCCAGCGTCTTCCCTCTCGCAATCAATGTCGAGCTTCTCCTTCAACCTTGACCATGTCCTAGGACTTTAACAGATTTTGGGCTTCGGGTTGAGCTGTTGCCCAAATGTTGCAGCTGCACGCTTGACGGAACCTGAACAACCCCCCCCCCCCCCCCCCCCCCCCCCTAAATCCTAAACCCTGAACCCTAAACCCTAAACCCTAAAACCCTAAAATCCTAAACCCCCCCCCTTCAGCTCTCGACATCGCATGGGATACAGTCAACATCCCTAAGCCCTAAAACCTCAACCCGAACCACCCCCCCCCCCACCCCAAACAAAAAAAATGAAAAAATGTGTGTATATACGTATATTCTATATGTATATGTATATTATGACTTTTCATCATATAATACCAATAATAAAGATGAAAGAATCTAGGTCCAGTCGAACATTGCCAGCGCACCATGGAAAGCGGAAGACCCCGGGGAAGAAGCTTGACAGCTTGGAGTCTGGGGTTCAAGGCTCCTAAACCCTACACCCTCTGAACCCTAAACCCTAAACCCTAAACCCTAAACCCTGAACCCTGAACCCTAAACCCTAAACCCTAAACCCTAAACCCTAAACCCTGAAGCCTAAGTAGAGGGGTTTGGTGTGTGCAGGGGTTGGTGTGTTTGGGGCTCATAAATAATCGGGTGTTCAAGCATTCGGGGCTTGAGGGCTTGGGTTCGGGTGTTGGGATGGTTTAAGGGTTTAGGGTTTAAGGTTTAGGGTTTAGGGTTTGGGGTTTAGGGTTTAGGGTTTAGGGGGTGCAGAGGGCGAAGGGGGTTTGAGGTACAGGGGTTATACAGGTTGGTTATAAAGGTTGGGGGCACTGGGCTTGATGGCTGCAGTAGACCCTGTTCCAGAAACCCTATCCCTAAACTCTCAACCCTCAACCCTCAACCCTCAACCCTCAACCCTCAACCTTGAACCCTAGACCCTTAACCCTAAACCCCAACAACGGGGCCTGGCCTTGTCGCCACGCGCGATCTCCACGGCCACGAGCTCTTCGTTGATTAGCGAGGGGCGGAAGACCTGATTATTGCCCCGCTCTTGACCAATGGCACCCTAATGTTTAGGGTTTAGGGTTAAGTGTTTAGGGTTTGGGGTTTAGGGTTTAGGATTTAGGGTTTAGGGTTTAGGGTGTAGGGTCAACATCCCGAACCCTAAACCCGCGAAACCCTGAACCCACTCAAACCCAAGAACCTTACGCTTTGGTTTGTTCCCTCTTATACTAAGAGTCCTGGATAGGGGTGATAGTACCCCCGATTAGAATCCCCATTAAGGACTCTTAGCTTGAGGGGGAACATCCCAACTTACACTCTTAAACCGCAAACCCCCCTAACCATAAACCCTAAACCCTTAACCCTAAACCCTAAACTCTTAAACCCAACCAGAGAAACCCTCGAACCGCACATCCCCCCCTCCCCCCCCCCCCCCCCCCCCCACACACACACCCGGAAGCCAAAAGACACCCGAAGCCCCACCACAACCCTAAACCCTAAACCCTAAACCCTAAACCCTAAACCCTAAACCCTTGAGCAACCTCAGAAGCCCGAAGAAAGCCCCAAAGCCCTCAACAAAAAGACGCAACAAGAACCCAAGGCCCTAAAACCCCCAAACTAGCAACCCTGAGAAGAATGCCTAAACCCTAAACCCAAACCCCAAACCCCAAACCCTCAACCCTGTAAACCCTGAACCCTGCAAACCCCTAAAAACCCTAAACCCTCTAAACCCTAAACCCTGAACCCAAAACACGCTAATCGCTCAACCCTATAAACCCTTAACACTGTACCCTATGAACCCTAAACCCTATAAACCCTCAACCCTAAACCCTAGGACCCTAAACACCAGTTATGAACCCTAAACCCTCAACATTAAGCCCGAACGTTTCCTATACACCCCAAACCCTACAAACCTAAGCCCTAAATCCTAAACCCTGAACCCTAAACCCTAAACCCTAAACCCTAAACCCTAAACCCTAAACCCTAAACCCTAAACCCTACCTAAGACCCCTGCGCCCAGCTCCTGCCAAGGCGCTCTTAGCACCAGGGAGTCGGAGTCGCCCTTCGGGCGCAGCTGGCCTTGCTTTAGGGTTTAGGGTTTAGGGTTTAGGGTTTAGGGTTAAGGGTTAAGGGTTAAGGGTTTAGGGTTTAGGGTTTAGGGTTTAGGGTTTAGGGTTTAGGGTTTAGGGTTTAGGGTTTAGGGTTTAGGGTTTAGGGTTTAGGGTTTAGGGTTTAGGGTTTAGAGTTTAGGGTTCAGGGTTCAGAGTTTAGGGCTTAGGGCTTTTGGGGCTTGGGGTTTGGGGCTTGGGGCTTGGGGCTTGGGGCTTGGAGCTTGGGGCTTGGGGCTTGGGGCTTGGGGCTTCCAGGGTTTCGAGCTTCTAGGGTTTAGGGCTTCTAGGGTTTAGGCTTTTTTCAGGCTTTAGGGCTTTAGGGCCCAGTAGGGCGGTTTGTTTTTTTTGTGTTTGGGGGGGGGGGGAGGTGTTAGCGGCCTGCGACGCCCTCAGGGTTGAGGGTTGGGATCATCTGTTAGCGAGTTCCCATATACAGGGGAGAACTTGTAAGGTTTTGCGTGCAATGGCGAACAGAAGAACTGGCACGCGAGCACTCTGTGGTGAAAAACAAAGTCTAGCAGCCCCTAAACCCTCAACCTGAAACCCCAAAACCCCTAATCCCTAAACCCTTGAAACCCTAACTAAACCCCTAAACCCTAAACCCCTAACCCCCTAAACCCCAAAGGGGGCCCCGTTCCTACGCTCATGCGGTTCCCGCATTCAGCTGTCGAGGGGCATGTCTCCCCTTGCTCCACGATCACAGAAGAAACCTTGGCATAGGACTCAGGGATTGGGGGGTGCTGGAGGGCCGCATGGGATGCTGAAACGACTGCTGACTTTGCCGTCGCGTCGTCGTTGTTGTACTTTCTGCTCTTGTTGCTCTTGTTGTTATTGTTGTTTATTGTTGTTGGTGGTTGTGGGTAATTACCCAGAAAGGAACCCCAAATTAGTAAACTACCCTCATACTGATAACTAGGGTTATAGGTAGGTCAACGATGCCTTACTGTTGGGGTACTTGTAACCCTGCTGAGAACTACGCACGAACCTCCGAGAACAGGCGGGCTAGCCTTGCAGGGCGTAGTGTCATCACCATTTCGGGCAAGTCCCAGCCGGACATCAGCTAGAAATCTGATTTGAGGATTCCCTTAATTAGCAGGGACCCCCCCCCCCCCCAACCCTAAACCTCCCCCCCAAAAAAAACGACCTTAAAGCCTAAACACTCGGCAGCCCCTGGCAGAGGAAAAGACCTTAACTCGCACCGGGTTGCTCCGTCGTTTCCGAGGTTTCCCAGCGGCCTGTTATCGATCACTGCTGGGTTTAGGGTTTAGGGTTTAGGGTTTAGGGTTTAGGGTTTAGAGGGTTGAGGGTTTAGGGTTTAGGGTTTAGGGTTTAGGGTTTAGGGTTTAGGGTTTAGGGTTTAGGGTTTAGGGTTGGTTAGGGTTTAGGGTTTAGGGTTTAGGGTTTAGGGTTTAGGGTTTAGGGTTTAGGGTTTAGGGTTTAGGGTTTAGGGTTTAGGGTTTAGGGTTTAGGGTTTACCGTTTCGGGACCTTTAGGGTTTAGGGCCGAAGGCCTAGGGTTGAGCCCTGAATTGCACCGCTTTTACGGACTTGGAGATTTTGAGGGTTGAGGGTTTAGGGTTTAGGGTTTAGGGTTTAGGGTTTAGGGTTCAGGGTTTAGGGTCAGAGGCCCGGGCTGTGCCACCTGCGAGGCTCGGCTTCAGGGCAGGTGGGGCTTATGCAGGGTTTCTGTAAAGTTTAGGGCAAGGGTTTAGGGTTGAGGGATGAGGGTTGGGGTTTTAGGGTTTTGGGGAAAGTTGAGGGTCTAAACCTTAGGCTCCTATAGGTTTTAGGGCTGCGAGGTTGGAACATCCAGTTTCTGCTCCTATCAAAGAGTTTAGGGTTTAGGGTTGAGGATTTAGGGTTTAGGGTTTCGGGTTTCGGGAAATTCCCCGCAGTCCCTGCAGCTCGTGCAGGCAGGAGGCATGGCGGCAAAGGGGACCAATGACCTTCAGCAATCTCTTGGGCTTACTACGCCCGCGTGGAAATGTCAACCACCTAGACACTCAAGCAGTACCCACCTCACAAAAACGGACCGCTTCAGCGGCTGCTATACTGTATGTCGCACTTGGAACACATGCTCAGAGACGAAGTATACGTGATCCCATGTGGCGGCCGTGACAAAAAAGTTGACGGAACTGGGATCATACACCGGCCGTAGACCGCATGATACTCTGGCCCCCTCCCTACACCCTAAAACTGCATAAGCGCCCCCAACAACCCCCAAAGCCCTAAAACGACACCAGCCCTGCACCCTACTCAAATATCAGCCAACCCCCGACCCCCCGACCCCCGCCCCCCCAGGAAAAAGAAAAGAACCCCCAACCCGAAACCTTAAACCCTAAAGCCTAAACCCTCAACCCGAAACCCCCCCCAAAAAAAATAAAAAAAGGAACAACAAAAACATGCAATGGCCAAGGTGCTCACGCACGTGTGCACAGACTTTTACTTTGCCAGGCCCTCCGCCGTAGGAGCCAGGGAGGTAGGTCACCTCCTGTAGTAGGGTTTAGGGTTTAGGGTTTGGGGTTTAGGGTTTAGGGTTTAGGACGGAGGCTAAGTTTAGATGAGCTGATTGGGGGCTGTCGAATGTAGATTTAGGGAGTTTAGGATTGGAGCTTAAAAAACTTACTCCGCAGAAGACTTGGTCAGGGCTCTCATGTGAGGGCTGGAGGCTTCAGGGGCCTTCAGGTCCAGGCTGTCGGAAGTGTTTGGGATCACATTAAATATAGGGCCTGAATAACTCGAATAGGGTTTTGGGGGTTATTATCGTATAATCATAAAGGGACCCTAAGGGAAAACTATTCGTAGTTATTCCGACCCTTATGCCACGTCTCTTGCTGACGTTCAACATGTCCATTGCTGGCATAGTTGCCGATGCATTCCCAGGCCATTCGCTAACCGGCCATGAGGGTATGCTGAGGTCGTGCCTTTCTCACTGAACTCATACTGCTGTTTCCACGCAGTCGCATCCGTCTAATTTAGCAGGCTGCCACGCTCTGTACACCAATGCGCGCCCCAAGCAGCTCAATGATGGTTAGCTCAGCCCTTGTACAGTAGTGTCTTTGGGCCCTGCTAAACCCTGAACCCTAAGCCCGAAACCCACAACCTCTTCGAGCCAAAGCACCACAGGATTCTCTTTCCGTCGGATGGTAGCCCTCGCCTCGCGCGTCGTGAGAGAACGAACGATACTATTCATAAACTCCCCGCGCCCACAAGTAGGGTTTAGTGTTTAAGATTAAGGTTCAGGGCTTTGCGGTTTAACCCTCTCCCGCTCAATTATTCGGGCCTGGGCGCGGAAGTGCAGCATTTAACGGGCATGGTCTGAAAAGGCTACCGCCAAAGCAAACCTGTAGCACAAGACTATGCAACCTTGGGGGTTTACTTGGAGGTTCCTGGGTACTTTCAAGCAGGGTAATCAGTACCCTACACTTGGATGAGGTTATGACTCTAGTTACCCTACTTCTAACCCCACTTAGCAGTCCCCGTGAACCTCACAGTACGTTGATTCTTCACACTAAACATAACCCTAACCCTACACCCTAAACCCTAAACCCAAAACCCTAAGCCCTAATCCCTAAGCCCTAAGCCCTAAACCATGCGCGCCTCTCCCTGACATCTCTGGAACAGCCGCTCGACCGGATCCTCCGCGTAGTGCCGAGTGGGTGCATGGGCTCGACTTAGGCCACCACTTGGAAGGTTGGTAGCCCAAGAACCGTATGGTAACAAGGACCCTTTTTTGGCTGGCTACTTTATAAGGGAACCCAGAACAAAAACAAAAAAGGGTGAAGAGTGCCACTGGGCTACCAAGGAAGCATAGAGCGAAACCCTCAGCCTTGAAGCCTCACAAGCGAAGGCGCCGATCAACGAGCAAGCAATCAAATCATGGGCATATCTCCAATTTGGCTCACATGGCGCCGTGTCCCTCGGAGACCCCGCAGACACAGGCTCACCGTTCTTGGAAGGATCAAGAACACCGAACAGAACTAGAACGCCTGACATTAAACCCTAAACCCTAAACCCGGGCAACCCCAACCCTCAGCTGCCTGGTCATCAGGCCGTGACGCTTGGCGTGCCTTCCAAAAGCAGGTTTTAGGGTTTCCGGGGTTGGCAAATACTGACGGGCAGCCCCTTTAGAGCTTCGTTTAACCCTAAACTCCAAACCCTAAACCGACAACCCTAAACCCGAAACCCTAAACCCAAAACCCTAAACAGTAACTAGGCGGATTCAGCCCGTCAACCGCGCATGTGAAGTCGGTCCCCCCGAGGCTTGAGTGCTGAGTCTTCGGGATCTTTTCAGAGCATGCTCCACTTCATATTTTGTTATGTGGGGTTCGGGTTTAGGATTTAAACTTAGGATTTAAGGTTGCAAATGAAGAGGGCTGAGGGTTGAGGGTTGAGGGTTGAGGGCTGAGGGCTGAGGGTTGAGGGTTGAGGGTTGAGGGTGTTCCCAACAACAGAAATGTGCCGCAACAGGTCCCCAGAAAAAGAAACTACGCGGCTCGTGAAAGCCAGACCCAACGAGACCGCACAAACTCGAAGCACCTCACTACAAACCCGGCACGTGATCAAACTTAATGGCGCCACTTTGCGTACATCACGGAGGTGCGACATGTGTGCCCGGCTGTGCGGGTAGTTGAAGATGGCGTGCGGCAGATCTTTTGGAGCATTTCCCTTCGTCGTTGCGCTTGCGGATGTGTACGGGCGAACGTAGTACGAGTAATTACGAGCGTTTCGGACAAGTACGGGCGAATGGGTTTGGATTGCAAAACTTGCGATTAGTACCAGCGGATGGGGGTTGGTGAGTGGCTCAACAGGACCGATAACAGCCGATGATGATGATGATGATGATGATGGTGATGTTGGTTTTGCAGACTCACTTGTTAAGGTCCACACGGTCTCGCAGCAGAATGTTTGTTGGCTCTCATGGACAGGCATCCTCGCAAACAAAAAGCACAAGAACAAATCCCACTAAAACTCGAGTGAGGCAAGAGAAGCTAGGTTTCAGGTTTTCGGGGTATGTTGAGGGTTTCAGGTTTCAGGGTCCAAGAAGCTAGGTTTCAGGGCTGTTGTGGCGGAGGACCGTGAGGGCCGACGCCCTCGCCCGCAGGACCTAAACCCTAAACCTAGGCATCAGCTTTGGCTAGTCTGCAGTTCTTGCAACTAGGATGGCCACTGAAACCCGCTGGCACACTTTCTTAAAAAGATCTTTTTGACCCTATTATCAGAAGAGTTAGAGAGCGAGAGAGAGAGAGCGCAAAAAACAACACAATATATATGTATGTATAAATATATACACCTCTATGTAATAATGCATATACATACACACCCGGTTGTTGGTGTAGGGCTCAAGTCTTCTCCGAAACCACACACACACCTCAACGAGCTTGCAGAGGTGGGGGAGAGAGAGAGAGAGAGAGAGAGGGAAAGGGAGAGAGAGAGAGAGAGGGATGAACCCCCAAAACCCTGAACCCCTCAACCCACCTCGCCCGACCCTCAACCCACTACCCCCAAAAACCCCAAACCCAAAACCCTTGATGAAGCCGCAACTCTAGCCCTCAGTGCCTCAACTGCACTTCAACTCTTCAAAACGAAGCCCTTGGCACCCTAGACACCTTGTACGCCAGGGCCTTGAGCCTAACGGTTTAGGGTTTAGGGTTTAGGGTTTCGGGTTTAGGGTTTAGGGTTTCGGGTATAGGGTTTATAGGGTTTAGGGTAGGAGCATTTTGGGGCCGCCTCGGTTTCTAAGGACCACGCAAGGGGGGTTCTACAGCCTAGGATGAAGGATCCCTTCTGGGGGGTGCCTCCTGCCAGCCCTGTAACGTCATCCCAAAACCCTAAACCCTAAACCCTAAACCCTAAACCTTAAACCCTAAACCCTAAACCCTAAACCCTTTGAGCTCTAAACCCTAGCCCAGCTGTGGGCCCTTAAGCCCTTCAACCCCCGGAATATCAAAAAAAAAACAAGCCCAAAACCCACAACCCGAACCAAAACCAAAACCCTAAGCCCTAAACCCTAAACCCTGAAAAGGTTGAGGGTTCAAAGTGTAGGGTTTAGGGTTGGCCAAAGATCTCTCCCTAAGCCCAGAAATGGAAGACATTAAATATCCCCAGGTTCGAACCTGGAAAGCAGAATTAAGACGCCCTTGAAACCCCGCAAAGCCTGTTCACACCCGTAAAGTCCCTCTTACAAAAGACCTGAAAAAATCCCCCCAAAGCATCCCTACATGCGCCAGCATTCTCTCTCCCCCCCTCTCCTCCCGAACCATGGTACCCTCCCTGTGGTTCATGGTGAGTTTGGAGGTTTAGGTTTGGGGCTTAGGGTTTGTGTCGCTCTGCCGTGCATGGCGGCTTAGCGTTTAGGGTTCAGGGTTTAGGGTTGTGTGTGTAGGGTTTCCCCTCTGACAATCTGGTTTGTGGCGGGTTTGGGGTTCAAGGTTTTGGGTTCAGGGTTGAGGATGAATCTCCCCGCCCTGTAGGTTGATGGGTTTAGAGGTGAGTGTTTTGGTTTGGGGTTTCTCCCCCTCCTGGTTCGTGGTGTAGTTAGGGCTGACCGTCAGGGTTTGGGGAGGTGGGGGCACGGACGCATACATCAGATATCCCACGAAGCCCTGCCTAAACCTCGAAGGCCTTTCAAGCCCTTAAGGCTCTAAACGCTAGCCCCCTAGCCCCGAAACTTCCCAGCCAAAGTCACTAAACTCTCCACCCGAAACCCCTAAGCTCTGAACAAAAACCCTGAAACCCCCAAAACTCGATACCCAAAACCCGTAAACTCTGAACCCTCAAGGCTTTAGGCTTTAGCCCCCCCCCGCCCCCCCTAAACCCTAAACCCCAGACCCTGAGCCCTAAACCCTAAACCCTAAACCCTAAACCCTACACCCGAAACTACCCTCTTACTTCGGGGCGGCCCAGCCTTACGAAAAAGCAGGGCTGTGCCAATGCCACCTTCATCCCCAGCTCCGACATGAGTCACACTTGAGGGCTTGGGGGTTTTAGGGTTTCTATAGGGTTTAGGGTTTAGGGTTTAGGGTTTAGGGTTTAGGGTTTAGGGTTAAGGGTTAAGGGTTAAGGGTTTAGGGTTTAGGGTTTAGGGTTTAGGGTTTAGGGATTAGGGTTTAGGGCTTCGGATTTAGGGGTTACGGTTCAGGGCTTTTTGGGGTGTAGGGCTTGTAGAGTTTAGGGTTGGGGAGTGCTTGGCTTGGGGCTTCCGTGAATCAGGCTCTCATGAGTTCACCGTTTAGGGTTTAGGGTTTAGGGTGTAGGGTTTAGGGCTTAGGGTTTAGGAGTCTACGGGTTTAAGGGTTTAGGGGTGTTGGGGTTTACTTAAGGTTTAGGGTTCTTGTAAGAAGCTGCGCCCTAGGTTCAAGAACATGAAGCAGGCGAAGCCCCGCTCCCAAGCCCCAAACATTCCCAATCTCACAGGCCATAAACCCAAAACCATAAACCCTCCGAGCCCAAAGTACCCTAAGCCCTAAACCCTAAACCCTCAACCCTAAACCCTAAACCCTAAACCCCTAAACCCCTACACCCCCAAACCCCTAAACCCCTAAACCCGAGACCCCTAGACCCCTACACCCCTGAACCACTAGACCCCTAAACCCCTGAACCCCTAGGCAAAAGTCTAGAACTAAACCCCAACACCCTAAAACCCCTGAACCCCTAGACCCCTCTAAACCCCTGAACCCCTGAACCCCTAATCATACAGGTCCGGGCCCAAGACTTCCGACGCACTCTGGGAGGACAAAGGACGGAGGAGATCCACGAGTTTAGGGTTTAGGGCTTAGGGTTTAGGGCTCAGGGCTTAGGGCTTGGGGTTGAGGTTTGGGGTTCTGGTAGGTTAGCAGTAGGGCCACTGTAGAGGTTCTTGCATCCTTTCTTCCGAAGCCCAGGAAGGATTTAGGCAGTGATTTAGGGTTTAGGGCTTAGGGTTTAGGGGGACCATGATCAGCCAAAAACCCTCACAGGACCTTTGAACCCTGGCTCCCAAACTCGTAACTAAATCCGGCCTACAAGAACACTCAACTCAAACAAACCCCCCTAAACTGCTCCTAAACCATAGATAGACCCTAAACACCGACCCTTAGAATGAGACACCCTTTCAACCAAACAAATGGCTCATCCTCGACCCAAGAAGTGCGGAGTGGCTAGAATGCCATCGTTCCTTCTGCAAATGGTCTCGGCAAACCACAGGGTCGCCCTGCTGTGATCGTCGCCACCCCCGAGACGAACCTCGATTTCCGCCACGAGTTCCTCGTCAGTCCGCCAGGATCACCATCCATGATCGGGTAGTTCTCAAGGGCACATCTGCTGCCAGACTTGCCTATGAGGCCCTACCTGTCTCACACACACAAGATGTATATACATGTTGCATGGACCTTTAGTTCTTTCAGCGTGTCTGGGGGTTCGGATCTTTAAGTTCGCGGTCTCAGCCCTTGAGGACTTCACAGTTTAGCTGAGTAGGGCTTAATATTCCCTTGAATCCTTGACCCTAAAGCCCCCTCTTTGGACGTCAAGCGCCAACGCCGGAGCCGAAGCCCCAAGCCCCAGGCCCACAGAAAAACAACGCACCCTTAAACCCCAAACCCTAAACCCTAAACCCCAACCCTCAACCCTCGACGCCAAAGCCATCGACAGCCTGCCTGCGGTGAGGATGCCTGTGCCCGGCAAGACGAGGGCCACCGCCAGCCCTCCCTTCCTTGGAGGCTTCTAGGGTTTAGGGTTTGGGGTTTGGGGTTTGGGGTTTGGGGTTTGGGGTTTGGGGTTTGGGGTTTGGGGTTTGGGGTTTGGAGTTTGGGGTTTTCTGAGGTCATAAGGGCCAGGTTATAGTTAGCCTTTTTCTAACACTACATATAACGACCTGTGAAACGTCCAGGTCCTGTGCCCTGGGCTTTGGGTTGAGGGATTGGAAGGGTTCTGGGCCCGGGCTGGGGTTTGGAAGGGTTTAGGTTTAGGGGTTAGGTTTCAGGCTTCATAAGGGTTTAGGGTTTTGGGCTTCTCGCCGGGCCGCGGCAGTAGATACCAAGCCGAGATGGTGCAGGGGGCGGCATATCACGCAGCGGTAGGGTTTAGGGCTTACATCAGCTTCCGGTCAAAAGGTTGAACCTTCGGTGCATTGGGGGTGGTATGGTTATAGGATTCAAGGTCGAGGGATCCTGCTCACTTGTGGGAGTGAGGGGGGGGTAGTCATGCAGATTCAGGGTTTTGGGATTCACAAACTTCGGGGGATTCAGGGTGGGATGAGCAGGTTTCGGTGGGGATTCAGGGTAGTCTTGAAGGGTGGCCTGAGCCCGGAACACCCGAAACCCCCCTAACCCCCCAGAAGCGCGAATTACGAGGCTCTGTGCCGGAGTCAACTTGTGCCCCTCCAGGTCGAACATCCGCCGGAAGAGTGCCGGCAGGCCTCTAGCGCGGGTGCGCGGGTGGTTTTGGGTTCTTTTGGTTGGCCGTTGGGGTGTAGGTTGGGACGTCCATGTACCCCCTAGTACAATCCCCATTAAGGACCGTTAGTCTAAGGGGGAGGGTTTAGAGGTAAAGGGGTTTGGGGTTTGGGGTCTAAGGTTTTGGGCTTAAGGGATTCAGGGAAAGAACGTTTGCCTGCTTTCACAGCATCACAACGGGGAATATTTGGACATACTTAGTTTCCCTTGTGCGATTGGTTCATGCAACATTTGTAAAATGTGAATAAATATAGAATATATAGATATATACACATGTCTGCAGTTCATCTAGAACAAGGTGAACCGAAGCAATTCACATTGCGTGTTTTCGCATATAATGATGCTCAGGAAATCGCGGAAGATCCGTTTTGTTGCACATGGCGAAAAGGTTCGCAATACTTGAGGTCGTGTTCAAATGCAATATAGTACTTGTTCTTGATTTCAACACTGCAGACTGTGTAGTGCTTTTGCTGATTTTGGTCAAACTAAAAAAGCGTGAATGCAAAACCTGGTGATGAACGAGAACTCGCTTGTTTCACGCGCCTAAATTTCTTATAACTGGTGCTACAAGAAATCGCCCAACCGTTGAAACTAATTAACCCGTGAATGAATGGGTGATCATAGTGTGCCTTTGGAAGTCATATTTAAAAAAGTGCTCGCGAGGAAACGAAGCGCTCATCAAAATGACTGATGAAAAGACACGAAGTGAAGAATAATAAGAGCGCGCTTTTCATGCGTCATGAACGACCACCTAATCTATCTTGATGAAAGGGCATTTTTGGGGGGGGGCAACAAAAAGCCCGCGCATTTACTTCGTTCGTTTACCGCGCGATAAAATAAGCAGCGCATGCATTTCGTTCTTATTCGCTCGCTCTTATAAATAATCTTTTCATTCGCGAGCGAGTTTATTTAGAATAACATACATGAAAGCCCGCGAATATGCCACATAAAAAGGACTTCGCTGCGATTACCTTTGTCTTTGCTACAAACTACTTTATCATCCCCTTTCTCAGGACCCCCTAAACCCTCAAACCCTGAACCCTAGCACCCTAAATCACTAAAACCCTAAAACCTAAAAGCCCTGCAACCCTGAAACTCGAAAACCCTAAACCCGAAAAAAGCCTAAACCCTACACCCTAAAAACCGACAAAGCCTAAACCCGAAACCATAAAACCCCACAAAAGCCTATACTGAACCCGAAACCCTAAAACCCCAGAAAGCCTAAACCCTCAACCCTATAACCCACAAAAACATAATCCCGACACCCTAAAACTCTAAAACCCTGAAAAACCTAAACCCTAAAACCCGTTAAACAAACCTAAACCCCAATCCCGAAACCGTAAAACCCTAAAACACCTAAACCCTAAACCCTACAACCCCAAGAAGCCTAAACCCTAACCCTAAACCCTGAACCCTAACCCTAAACCCTAAACCCTAAACCCTAACCCTAAACCCGAAACCCGAAACCCTAAACCCTCAACTTTCACTTTCTCAACCCAAGGCTCGGTTCGTCGAGACCAGCGCGTCTCGCTTAGAGCCACCCAGGTGGTCGGCCGGGAGGCGGGAGAGCTCCGGCTGAAAGTCCCCTGTGGCATAGATAAGGGTTTGGGGTTTGGGGTTTGGGGTTTGGAGTTTAGGGTTTAGGGTTTAGGGTTTTGGGCTCAGGGTTTAGGGCTTAGGGTTTAGGGTCTAGGGTTTAGGGTCCCCAAACCCGATAAGCCCATGATCCTAGAACCCTTTATTGGGGGTTTACGAGATTCTGGTGCCCCTAATATAGCACCCCAAATAGTAGGATTCCCTTATAACAAGGACCCCAGTAAGGTACCCCTGATTTCGGGAAACCCCTACATAGCCTTTGCATCTGTAACCCAACGAACCCTATACCCTTCTAATCTTGGGGTAGTTACATGGTCCCTTGGTATGGGCCCTTAAACGGGTATAACCCCTTAGAAACCCTGTACAGCCCAAGGGCCCATGCATCAAAACCCTTTAAAGAGGGTGAAGGACCGTACTTAAACTCAACCTTAGTAGAACCCTAACCCTCAACCCTCAACCCGAAACCCTAAACCCTAAACCCCACACCCCATCGTCCCCTAAGCCGAAGCCAAGCTTCGCTCCACCGCAGTCTGTACAGCAGCCAGGCTCTCGCACCACGCCTACAGCAGGGACCAGGTCAGAAGCAGCCCTAAACCCTAAACCCTAAACCCTAAACCCTAAACCCTAAACTGGCGTGTGAAGAAGGGACCAGGTCAGGAGCAGCTCTCAGGCTTCAAGGTTTCAGGGCTTGCAAGGGCTTCGGGCATGGGGTTTAGGGCTGCAAGGGTTCTAATGGTCCCAGCGACTACAAGGGTTACGAGCCAACGTGTTCTGAATGGTGATAAAAAGGTCATGAAGGCTATAACGGTTGCAATGGCTAAGGGCCGGATATATCTCCTGGAACAGGTTTAAAGGCTTTATGGTTTAGGGCTGAGGAAGAAGGGGGGGGTTCGGGCTTGGGCAAAGTCCTAGATGCACGGGGCTTATACTTTTGCGCCGAAGCTGCCTCACATTTTTTTCACTGAAGATACCCATGCCGCGACTCTGCCGTAACAACGTGCAGCTGCAGTCGGACTCAGCAGCCTGAACATACCCAACTTCCTGAACAACCCTCAAGACCCCCTACCCATAAAGCTCCACACCCCAAAAAGCCAAAGCCCGACCCTCAACCCTACATCCTAAGCCCTAAACCCGAACCCTAAACCCTAAAACCTAGCCCTAAACCCGAAAACCCGAAAGGTAACCCTGCAGTTTAAGCTCGATTGCTTCCATGCGGTCTCCCCCTGCCCCAAAAGGCACCTCGTCAGGATCCATCCCCACCTCGGGGTTCGGAGTTTAGGGTTTAGGGTTCAGGGTTTAGGGTTTAGGGTTTAGGGTTTAGGGTTTAGGGTTTAGGATGTAGGGTTTAGGATGTAGGGTTTAGGGTTTAGGGCTTAGGGATTGGGCGTTGGGGCTTCGGGCTTGGGGGCTTGGGGGCTTGGGGTTGAGGGTTTAGGGCTTGGGCTTGGGGGATTTGGGGTTTCCCCTCAGTCTGCGGCGTCATGTTTTTGCTGCAAAACGCTTGTGCAAGGTTATCAGTACCGCAAATGGGTTTAGGGTTTAGGGTTTAGGGTTTAGGGTTTAGAGTTTAGGGCTAAAGGTTTAGGGGCTTAGGGCTTGGGGCTTAGGACGGAGGGCTTAAATCTGATGTTTCGGGTTTAGGGTGGGCAAGAATAAGGCTTGGGGAGTCGCAACAGGCGGAACCTGAGGCCCACCTCTAGGAAGTAAGGGCCTCAGGTTTCGGTTTGTCAGGTTTAGGGTTTAGGGTGTAGGGTTCACGGTTTAGGTGTGAGGGGGCCTTGTTTCCGTTTTTATTAGGGTGGAAAGCCATAGCACTGAAACGTGGGAGGTCGGAACAGGCAAGCTGCGTGAGGGTACAGCACTTTGGCGAAGCACACGAGTGAGTTGCACCTTGGCATCTTTTTTCAGGGTTCAGGGTTTAGGGTTTATTGTTTCGAGATATCTGTATTACTTAAAGAACCCACGGTTGCTTCTTTCTGCTATCACACGGCCCCTAAAAGGCTTTGGGGCAAACAGCGAAGGGAAACTACTTGTTGGGGTTCAGGGGAAGCTTGCGGTTTAGGGTTCGCCCGACGCTAGGGTTTGGGGAACTAGGCACGGAGACAATATGAGGAAAGCCAGCTGACCGAACAAGAAGGATTCAGAGGTAATTAGTTTGGTTACCTGCGGTGCTAAACCCCCGAAGCCCTAAACTCTAAACTAATACCCTAAATCCAATCCACAAGACCGTCTCCCTCCAAATCCCCTGAATCCCCTAAAGCCCTATCCAAACCCTCAAAGCCCTAAGCCCTACACCACTAAGCCCTAAATCCCCTAAATCCCCAGATCTAGACCCTAAACCCTAAACGCTAGACCCTACACCACAAAAACCCAAGCCCCAAATCCCCCCAAATCTCCGGATCTCGCGCCAAGGGTGCATCAGCAGCGCCGCGGCGAAGAAGTTCAGCAGCCCCTCGCGCGAGCCAGCGCCGATCAGGAGAAGCTGGCCTTGGTTTTTGCTTGTCTGTGTTTTTTGGGGGGGGATGCCGGTGGTGTAGGGCTTCTAGGTTCAGGGTTTAGGGTTTAGGGTTGAGGGTTTAGGGTTTAGGGTTTAGGGTTTAGGGTTTCGGGTTTAGGGTTACGGTTTGAGGCATCTTCCCGCGCACAGCGGCAGAAGATCTCTGTCTCTGTCTCTGTCGACACGCACACACGCACACATGGTGCCCGGCTGGCGGTATTTGGCGCGTAGCACGTGCATCGATGAAAACAGCGAACCGGAATCCAAAAGAGTTGCGCGTCCTTCTTACCCCCACTTGAAGGTTTATGGGTCGTGTTCAGCACAGGTGTAACTAGGGTTCAGGGGGCTTACTTGGAGGTTCACGGTAGTTATATATGGGGCGATGGTACGGTAACCAGTAACCATACCTAGAACCTATTGAGGGTACGTATCACCCTTCTTAGAAGTACCCATGAACCTCCAAGCACACCTAAACTCAGAAACTGCCCCCTCCTTCCCCCGGGCAAAGCAGCGCGAAACAACATCAACCGCAACACAGCCGCCGAGCCATATCGACTGCCTTTCCTCACACCAGTCCTAGCAGCAGGTGGGTGTTGCGAAGGGACTTGAAGCGGAGGAGGTTCAGGGTTCTGGGGGCTCAGGACGCTAAGGATTTTGAAGGTCTGGGTACCGGGGACACTGGGCGTGGAGGAGATCCAGGAAACATGCGTCCTTCCACATAGCGACGGGTCTGCTCAATTTGTCAATGCAGCCTACGAGACAAACGTACAGCTTAGCCAGTTGCATTTGGGGGTTTACGAAAAATAGGGGACCCCAAAGCTAGATGACCAAATAGCAGGATTCCGTTATAATAAGGATCCCAATAAGGTACCCCTAATTTCGGAACCCTCATTTAGCTGGCTCATCGACTCGCTTGTGCCGGGCTAGTCTGTGCACAGGGTGACGCACTTACTCTCTACTGAAACGAAAACCTAAACACCAAAACGTTTCGGCGCCCTCTCGGATACGCTGCACTTTCGGACACGACCATACCCGAGCAAACCCTCCTCGACCTCAACACGAAAGCGTACTCTCGATCCAGAATTATTAGATTTTGCATCCCCCAAAACCCAACACCCTCAGACCCAAACCGCAAAACCCTCAACAACCGTAAGCCTAAAGCCCCAAACATCCCGAAGCCATAAACCTTAGACCCTAAACCCGAAACCCTAAACCCTAAACCCTCAACCACAAAAACCGACAGACACCCCCACTTGAACACCCACCTGTGCCGGCTGCAGCGGGATGTCGAACCACAGCCGCTTCAGGGCCTGCCCCCCCCCCCCCCCCCCCCCCCCCCCCCCCCGAAACCCTTTGGGGGTTTAGGGTTTAGGGTTTAGGGCTTAGAGTTTAGGGTTTAGGGTTTGGGGATGTTTTGGGTTTGGAGCAGAAGACAACAAGTTAGCCTACAAAGCCTACAAAATGTTCCCCCCAAAATATTGAGCCCTGCACACGAAACCCTCAGTCCCCTAAACCCTAAACCCTAAAACCTAAACCCTAAACCCTAAACCCATAAACCCAAAACCCTAAACCCTAAACCCTAAACCCTGCAGAGCTGCTGAAAGCGAGACCACTGGGCCCCCCCAAGTCTGCCAGGGTCTGATGGCCCGAGGCCATTCAGGCCGCCTGGCCTGGCAAAACCTGATGCTACAGGGCTCTTGATATACCCTAATATACCCTAAATCAATAGGGCTCTTAATATACCCTAATATACCCTAATATACCCTAATATACCCTCATATACCCTAATATACCCTAATTCCTAAGTCCTAAACCCTAAACCCTAAACTGGAATAGTGTTTTGGGGTAAGTATAGCTATCAAAGGGACGGCTCAGATCTCTCCCTCAGTCCTCAGCCCCGAACCTTGAAACACCTCCTGAGCCGCCCCATCATCTGCCAAAGTCTGCGGGCGATGCCCCGATCCGTAGGTCCACGCCATCTGTGTCTCGTCGAGTTCAGCGAGGCTAACAGCCCAAAACGACTCCAGGGTGAGACGGGACCCCTGTATCCACGGCTCCTCCGGAGAGCATGGCTCCATGGCTGCTGCATCCCTGGACTCTTCTCGCAGTCCAAAACTAGTCCGTGCAACAGGTCACTGCAGGATCAGGCTTTGGCATGTCAAGTCACAGGATGTGGAGGCTTGCACTCTTCTGGGTTTCGGGCTTCGGGTTTCGGGTTTCGGGTTTTGGGTTTTGGGTTTTGGGTTTAAGCTCCCCCTAACCCTAAACCCTAAACCCTAAACCCCAAACCCTAAACCCTAAGGCTCAGTACTCCGTGCCCAGCCTTGCTGAGCGCCGGAAGCGACCGGGCGTCCACGGCGTCTTTGGCAACTTCCAACCCCACCTCAGCAACTTCGGCTTCTGGGGTTTGGGGTTTAGGGTTTAGGGTTTAGGGTTTAGGGTTTAGGGTTTAGGGTTTAGGGTTTAGGGTTTAGGATTAGGGGGTTTATACAATTTAGGGTTTCAGATTTAGGTTTACGGTCGAAGATGTAGGGTGGGCAGAACTGTTAGGGGTGCGGGTTTCGGGGTTGAGGGTTTGGGGGTTGAGGGCGGTTGGGCCTTGGATTCTGGACTTCGGGGTTAGGATGTCCTTCTTTCCCATCAACAAGCCACCAGACCACTCAGCACCAAAGCCGGCGTCCCTGCCCGCAGCCCCATCGACTGCAAGTTTTCCGATTTGCGGCTGAGGGTGTAGAGTGCCCTAAACCTACACCCCCTCATTCAACCCCAAACTAAAATCCTAAACCCGGCTTCAGCCAAAGACGTTTCGACATACCCGTATTTTCTCCCAGGAGCTTCTAATGTTCTCCACTGGGCATCTGTATGTAAAGCCCCGACTAGGCATGTACCCCACCCAAACACAGTGTCACATGCGGCGTGTGAATTTGGGTTGGCTGGCTAGGGTTTGTGTTGAGTAGTGCTTGGGCGCTCTTGGGATTGGAATGTCTGCATACTAAACCATGAACTCGAAACCCTGAACTCGAAACCCTGAACCCTAAACCCTAAACCCTACACCCTAAAATACAATGCCGTTGATGCCATGAGCCACCTTCCCCGGCACCAACACCGCCAAGGCGTTCCTGCGGCGGGACCCCTTTCAAAATGAGCTTTGGGTACTATAGGGTTTGGGGTCTAGGGTTTAGGGGTTAGGGTGTAGGGTTGAGGGTTTAGGTGCCCTGTTGCCTTATGTGGCTTGGGGCTTGGGAATAGGCTCGGGGTTTAGCGCGTGGGGTTTGGGGTATGGGGTGCCTACCTATTTAGAAGTGGTACTAACATTGAATATATAGGGCTGCTATAGGGCTGGCAGGGGATGATATGGGTAGCACCGAGAATGGACCTCCGCAAACAAAAGGTCAACTCGGAATCGTTGCATGCACTTCAGCAAAAGCAAAATAGCCCTACAACCCCAACCCCAAACCCCAAACCCTAAACCCTAAACCCTACACCCTACACCCCAAACCCTAAACCCTGAAAACCCTTCGTATTTTGTGTATCTCGGGCCCGGGGCCTCTATGAGCCTGGGATGTAGGATTTGGGCGGTGCTCCGCATGGCACCACCAACCCCACACGCGAACTCCGCCATCACCCCCCCCCTCCCCCCCGGGTGCCGAAAGCCCATTTTAGGGTTTAGGGTTTAGGGTCTAGGGTTTAGGGTTTAGGGCTTTGGGCTTTGGGTCCTGGGGTTTGGGGCTTGGTTGGGTACTCCAGCCCGCCTGTGGGGTATGCCCAAAGAACACCCTCCTACTGTGTGAAGCCGCTAAACCGGGGTGTAGGGTTTAGAGTCAGAAACCCTAAACCCCAAACCCTAAGTCAGGTTCGGATTCAGGGCTGCAAAACAAGGGACAGGAGTTGTCGAAGCGAGTCGATCACGCCGTCCGCAGCGGCCTCTCTTGGGAGGCCATGGTTGCTGCATCGGGTGCCCTAAGCCCCAAGCCCCAAGCCCTAAGCCCTAAGGCCTAAGCCCTAAGCCCTAAATCCCAAACCCTTAACCCTAAACCCTAAACCCTGAACCCTAAACCCTAAACCCTAAACCCTAAACCCTAAACCCTAAACCCTAAACCCTAAACCCTAAACCCTAAACCCTAAACCCTAAACCCTAAACCCTAAACCCTAAACCCTAAACCCTAAACCCTAAACCCTAGCCTAAACCCTGGGATGTTTAGAGGATTTGTGGGATCAGGGCCGAGAGCCAAGCATCTATGAAGCCTAAAGGCCAAGCCTGCTTTCCTGAACAGGCAGGACTCTTAAAGACGCAGGGCCGGCAGAACCTCAACCAAACCTAAACCCCAAGTCTCGAACCTTACGGGTTTAGGGTTTAAGGTTTAGGGTTTCGAGTTTATAGGATTTCCAGAAGTCGTAAACACTAAGCCGAACAGCATAAACACCCAGCAATCCCATGTTCTTTGGGCTGCGTACATGAACTCAAAACATGCATCATGGGATGCGGGCTACTGTTCTGAGGAGTACGCGACATGCATTAGTGCGAGCGCCAGCCCTAAAACCTAAACCCTAAACCCTCAACCCTAAACTCATCCAAGCACCTTCGCTGCATCCTCCATCGCTGATGTGAGCTGCACGACATCAGCCGGGAGCGCGGTGGAGGGTTGGCGTGGGGTATTTAGCGCTTTCGAGTGCACGGTGTAAGGTTTAGGGCTTGGGGTTTAGGATTTCGGGCCTAGGGCTTAGGGCTGGCGGCTGAAGGGTCCTAAGCCCAAAAGCCTGAAGCAAATACATCTCGGCTGCAGCGGCAAACTCGCTCGGTCCGTGCAGGACGCCAGCACGAAGGCTCTTTGCAATTCTAATTTTGGGGGGTACCTACTTCGTCAATGAGTCCAAAAGGTTCTGGGGGCACCCTTACCTCCGGGTTCAGTTCTTATGACATGATTCGGCAACGTCTGAAGCTGAAGAAAGCGACGGCACATGGTGTGCGCTAGCAACCTCGAGGCTACTGAGTTTGTAGGGTTTAGGGTTGTAGGTTTGTTGTTGCGTGGCCTGTCCTGTCTCAGCACACTCCATGAAGCTTCGAGCGTTCAGGGTTAGGGCGGGTTTTAGGGTTCCCAGGGTTTAGGGTTTAGGGTTTGGGGTTTAGGGTTTAGGGTTTGGGGGTTTAGGGTTCAGGGTTAAGGGTTTGGGTTTAGGAGGGTTTAGGGTTTAGGGCTCCTTACATACTCCAAGGCTTCTGAGCTTCTGCTGTCTCCCTGAACTTGAGGATGCTGTCCTAGAAGCTTGGACCAACCCTAAACCCTAAACCCCAAAACCTAGAATCCTAAACCCTAAACCCGAAACCCTAAACCCTAAACCCGAAACCCTAAACCCTACAGACTCCCAAGCTTTCGGGCGTGGGGAGTCCGGTGTGTATGAACTCCTGCACGACTACAACAAGTTGAGGGGTCTGAGATGTGCACGCAGCAAGGGTTTAGGGTTTAGGGTTTAGGGTTTAGGGTTTAGGGTTTAGGGTTTAGGGTTTAGGGTTTAGGGTTTAGGGTTTAGGGTTTAGGGTTTAGGGTTTAGGGTTTAGGGTTTAGGTTTTGGTTTAGGGTTTAGGGTTTAGGGTGTAGGGTTTACTTTCGAATGCTCTCCCAAATTGGAAGTATCAGCTTCAGAGTGCATCCCTCACTGCATGGGTTCAGCGTTTCATGGGTTTTCAGGGTTCAATTAGGGTCTAGGCGTTTTTTTTGGCGTCCTTTTCCGGCAGCCAGGGTTAGGGTTTAGGGTTGAGGGTTTAGGGCTGGGGGGGTTTATTTGGGTCTGGGCTCAGGGCTTTAGGGCTTGGCTGTTTTAGGATCATCCTGGCATTCTTTTTCTGAGGCACTTGCCAGGCATCAGAGATCAACACAGGTAAGACGCCTGGGAGGTCTGGTGTGCATTCACAGCCAAGCCTGGCACGGGCGCAGAGTCTCATGGGGGGTCAATTTTTTGTTTCAAAGGTTATGGGACCCCAAGCAACCCCAAGCCTCTACACCCTAATCCCTACACCCTAAACCCTAAACCCTAAACCCCAAACCCCTAGGTCTCTAAGGCTCGGGTTTGCTTCAGAGAATCAGCTTGAGCGGCCGGTGGCCAGGGAATTGGTCAGCTGACCCGAAGGGTCGTTGCGGTTTAGGGTTTAGGGCGACCCGAGCCCGATAAGCCCCCGCACCCTGGCACATGACGGCCCCAAAAACCTTACCCTAAACCCTAAACCCTAAACCCTTAACCCTAAACCCTAAACCCTAAATCCTAAACCCCAAACGCCTTAACCCTAAACTCTAAGCCCCTCAAACTGTCAGCCGACATCCGCGCGAGCGGTGCCCTCTTCTTGCCGCGGAGCAGTCGGAATCGATGGCGCAGCTTTATGCGCCGGGGTTCGAGCTTAGGGCCTAGTTTGGGGAGTTTTAGGGTGTAGGGTTCTGGGCATGTGATGCAACATTATCGTCGCATGGCTATGAAATCTTGAAATGAACAATCATCTCCGGATAAGCCTGAGCCCCGTTGAAGATGATGATTTCTCGATGTACTTGTGGCCAACTATAAGTCCTTGGTAACCAGATCATATAATAAAAAATAACAATAAGAATAATAATAGTAAGGGTACCCTTTTGGTGGCCTGTCGCTTTGTAAGTTCTACGAGAAACCCAGAGCCAAAAAACAGGGGCAAAAGGGTACCACTGGGCCACCAAGAGTCGGCGTGCCTGGCTGAGCAACGACGGAATGGAAGCGGCCTTTCGAGGGGTCGGCTAAGTCAACCAGGGGCTCCACCTTCCTCAGCTGCACTCGGATGCTCCCTGAATACTCTATCTGTGGCAGCTCTGCGTGTGTGTGTGTGTGTGTGTGTGTGTGTGTCAGGATTAGGGGTTCATGAGATTTGCGGTGCTTCTAAGACATTCCCAACTTGCTCCCAAGGTGCAGGTACTTCAAAGGCCCTTGGGCATACATCGGGCGCCCAAGTATCACTCGCGCAATGATGAAGCAACCACTGCTTTGGTTTTGCCATGTCTGAACCCCTGAGTACTGGAGACTCTTGCAGCTCTGATCTGTAAAGTAAATTCCCTGGCCATAGAGCCCACTTTCACGTGCCAGGCGCTCGTCGAAGCCAAAATTTGCAATTTGGGTTGTCTTGTCGGATGTGGTGCCATGGATGACTAGCACCTCGTTGATTTTTGCATCCAAGTGCGCCCAACTGCACACCTGCCACGGGAGGGCGCTGGTCACAGCAGGAACGTCTGGACGAGCATCTAGCTCTTTTCGCACCTGCTCCTTCCGAAACTCATAATCCTTCCAGATGTTGGTGTTGCAAATCTGCTGCAGGCCGGTGATGCTGAAATGCTTCATGCGCATGCAGTTCCCACGGTGATCCGAAGGGCAGGCTTCAAGCAAAGCTTTGTGGATCTTAGAGAAAGATGCATCCCAGGGGTTGAGCTCAATGCAAATCTGGAACTGCTGGCGACTCACTCGCCAGGCTTCCTGTAACATCATCTGCGTGGCATGGTCGGTCTGTGAACGCTCCAAGGCTTTGTTCTCTTGCCTCGAGTGCTTGACAAGAGCCCGATATACTCCCAACATCGATGGCGGCAAAGCAAAAACCCGAACTTGGGTAACATGTGAACACTTCTCATGCCGTAATTCTTCCCACTGGTGCATCTCAAGCAGAACACTTGCCATAGATTGCGCTAAGCCCATGAAGCCTTGACAACCTCCGGCCTGAACCCGAATCCCAATGTTCGAGACCAAGCGTCTCTAGCCTTGCTACCTCGGCCATCAGCGATGCGTTCTTGTCCAAGAGCTCCTGCTTCTCAGTCAGAAGCTGTTCCACTTGCGTAGCCTTCTCTGTTAGCTTGGATATGTCCGGTCTGATCCCGCCCCTTCTGATCTCCCGCCGGCGCTGGGTCTTCGTATTCCACTGCAACATGCAGGTGCAATCGACGCCATAGCAGAACCCGTTTGCCTGGACGTAGAAGATGTCCGAAGCATCGGCCTCGTCCCATCCTTCAGCCCAACGCTTCTCAAGCGCATCGTTCATGTCCTTGCCCATTGGCTTCCAATCTTCCTTCTCTCCATCACCGCCTGCCAAGAACTCCCATCGAAGCTCGACTTGAGAGTCGTTGCATGCATCAGTCGCCTGACCCACCGCGATGCTCAGGGCCATGTCTTGGGACATGCTCTGGCATCCGTTCGGGTTTCCCATCTGGACCATCCATCCAGATGACGGCACGGTCAACTCACCCGGACTAAGGTTGGAGGAGCTGTAGGCCCAGGCCACCACATCTCCTACTCTGGGGCACAACCACCAGCCATGATACCGTGGCCCATCGCGGTCATCCCAGAAGTGGATCACCGCACGTTGCGGACCATCCTTTACGTACAGTGGCTTGCCATGATGCCAGTGCTTTGCAGTATATCTTCCTTTGATGAGGTCAGAAATAGTCTGCGTGCTGCAGCCAGAGACGTCGAGTATCGGTGCTGTGAACTCCTTGTTTGGAAGCAGCATCTTTCTCTTTCGAGCCAGGCGATGCGCTTGATGGCTCGGCGAGGACAGCAAATGCTTCTCAAGGGATGACTGCCCATGGTTAAAATAGCACACGCAGTGTGGACAATAAAAAGGGTTGGCTGAGGTTGGATCTGATAACTGAATGCGCGCTTGGATGGCCAGTGCTTCGCAAGACTTGCTCAGGGCGCGGGCGCAACCTTCCTGCACATGCTGCCCCCAGTCCTTCCAACATTTGAGGCAATAAACGGAAGAAGCGTCGACCTTCGAATCTGGCCGACTCCATATGTCTTGACCCAGAGCTATCCAGCTTGCGGAAAAATCCTCCCACTGATAAAGCGAATCCCACACCCACAGCCACTTCTTCCCATCTCTGATCGCAACCCTTCCGATGCTTGCATCATCCTTGCACTTGAAGCACTCTGGCATGGCAGGTCAACTATCTACTTTCAGCAGCCTGGAATAGTCTAGGGGCCTGAATAAAAAGGGTTTTGAGGGCTATGTTAGTAAGATTTGCGTAGGGACCATGAGGGATACTATTCGCAATCTTCCGACCCCTATAGTAATCTGAACTTATCGCAAGATCCTTAAAGGCTTACACAGCTTGGAAGCCTGGGGCTTAGGGGAGTAGGGTTCAGGGCAAGCGCGTGACCTTTCAGCACACACAGACGCGTCGGAGTCCACTCTCTCAATCTCTCAAACTGCATCGTTTGGGGTTTAGGGTTTAGGGTTTATGGCGCCGTGAATGAATGTCTTTGGTATAGAATCACACTCCACCACAAATGGAATGACTCTACGTCAAGCCAACCCCATGTCCTCATGAGCTTTAACTACTGTAGGGGGTTGGGCTTTGCCAGCATTCATCCAATCCAGCGACCCCACAGCACCCAAGCCCCAAACCCTGACCTGAACAACCCTAAACCAAGGCTCTTTGGAGTGGCTGTGTCGGACGATGTCCCCCCTGACTCATGCAAAGCCCTCCGCTATGCAAATTCGCTGCACCACTTGGGTACGTGGGATTTAGGTGTTCCGTGTTTAGGGGGTGTTTGGGCCCCAGGGTTGCTGAGGGCCTAGCGCGTTTTGGGGCTAAGGGTTCCTAAACCCTCAACCCCCAACCCTCAAGTTGGCGACCCTTGTGCCTTAACGGAGAGAGGCCCACGTGCTCACCTGGTCAAGGCGACTGTCCCCTAAACCCTAAAACCTAAACCCTAAACCCTAAAACCTAAAACCTAAACCCTAAATCCTAAACCCTACACCTCGACCTACACTGCTCCAAGGGGCTTTACAGGAAAGACCCTTCAACGACACCTTGCGGGCTGGATGGGGCCGACGGTTGGGCTGCTGAGGTGTTGTTGAAGAGTACACATAGGTGCATGTTTATGTATATGTCTCTATCTACATAGCTTTGAAGAGTACACATAGGTGCATGTTTATGTATATGTCTCTATCTACATAGCTGGCGATATATGTATATATATATATATGCATACACATGTATACGTAGATGTTCATATAGAACGTAGGGTTCAGAAACAACGTGTAAAGGTCGACATAGTTTTGAAGTGGCTTGAATGACACAGCCCTTGTCAACAGAGTATAGCTAGATATATACATACAGCTTACCCTGTGCCCCTAACCCTAAACCCTGAGCCCTAAAGCCATTGGGTCTTAGGGACTTCCCGGGGAAGGAGCAACCAAGCGCTCCGTAGGGATATCGTGGACAGGAGACACCGGGACGTTTAAGGGGCGAAGGGTTAGGACTTTGGGTACAGTAGAGGATTTAGGGTTTGAGGCCTCGCGGCCACCCACTGACTTTTCGCCGCAGTCTGATACAGGCGTGGCTGGAATATGTCTTCCCGGTCCACCCTTACCTCAACCCATGGCAAAAGCAGCCGAACCAAGACACAACACCGCACTGCAACGTAATCTAGGGGCCTGAATAATGAGAATAGGGTTTTGGGGGATGAGTATAAGTAAAATTATAAAGGGACGAAGAGGTAATATTCTTAGTACTTATTCCGACCCTTATTTAAACGCCAACGCGCCTGTTCCACGAGCGGCTCCTGGCAAGCAGTCGCAACTCTGCACCCTGAGGCCATGCCCTCACTCCTCCTAAGCCCTATGAATCTAGACCCAGGAGTAACATAGGAAGAAAAAGGGTATCCTTCTTAAAAGGGGATTATAAGGGAACCCCAACCCTAAAAGGAAATAAGGGCCTACTCTGGGTCCCCAGGACTCCTAACCTCTCTCTCAGTCCAGCCATGGAGAATTGTTGAACACATTTGAGGCGCCTTCGCCTTTGCTGTGCACCAAGGTGCAGCCCCTTCAACTACAGCCTGGATTGAACCGCCAGGGATGTGAAACGTCAGACAGGCCACTGAAGCAAACCTCGAGATGGCATCCCCAAGGTTGAGATCCGGAGAGCCCGAGAACCCTGATTCGAAGGGAGGTTGTCAAGCTGAATCTTGTCCTGCATGACCTAAAACTCTAAACCCCGGACGTCGAAAGCCGAAGGCCGTCCGCGCCTCTGCAAAGGTGGGGGTTTAGGGTTCAGGTATATAACTGGAGGCCCCTTGCAGATCCAGCCCCACATGTTTAGGGACTGCTAAAATAACGGGGCCATGATTCTGAGGTCTGACTGGAACCCTTTACCCCTAAACCCTAAACCCTAAACCTTAAACCCTCAACTCTAAGTTGAGGTCCCGTTTTGGTGTGCCCCTCTCGTCTCAAGGGGTTCAGCTCCAACCCTAAGCCCTGAACCCGAAGCCCTCCTTTACTCCACAAGGGCGCCTTCTAAAACCAAAGCCCCCGAGAGCGGAGCCTGAAAGGACCTAACTGGCTTAGGGTTTAGGGTTTAGGGTTTAGCGTTTCGGGTTTCGGGTTTCGGGTTTAGGGTGTAGGGCTTAGGGCTTAGGGCTTAGGGCCGGGTGCCACCCCCTGCAGGCCTTCGCTGGTGCCATCGCTGCTCAGCGTCCCTGCGCCTCTGGGCCTTGAGCCGCCCGGCTTCGAACTCCGGCCACAGCGTCTCAATCTCCATCTGCGCCGGGTTGTTGGAATAGGGTGTGGGGTGTAGGGTTTAGGGTTTAGGGTTCAGGATGAAAAGGTTGAGGGTTTAGGGCCTAGGTTCAGGATTTAGGATTTAGGGTTTAGAGTTTAGGGCCCGAGTTTCCGGGTTTAGGGTTTGAAGGGTTTAAGGATTTGGGGGTTTAACTTCTGATGGCGGCGCGAAATTACAAGAACTCTAGTGAGCTGCTGTCCAAGTAGAACTGCAGGCTCTAAGCCAAAAGCACTTGGCCTGCTACTCCTGGGGTGGAGCCTGCTCGGGAGGGGCGGAGGCGAAGGAGGCTTAGAGGGCTTATAGGGCTTACAGGGCTTATAGGATTTATATAGGGTTGAAAGATCAAGAAGGGCTAGAAGGGCCGTCGACCTGATCACTGTCCCCGTGCCCCGCTGCACTACGGTACACACAGCTGTGATACTTCATCGAAGAGCCCTCCTAGTAGAGGGGTCGGAATTAATATTCCCTTAATTCATCCCTGTATACATGTACCATAACAACCCCCCAAACCCTATTCTACTTATCAAGGCATCTACAGTAGCCCTAAACCCCTAAACCCTAAACCCTATATCTTGCAGTGGCTCTGTGGGAGGAACCATTTAAGCCCTATGAACCCCGAAACCCTGAACCCTAAACCCTAAACCCTAAATCCTAAAGGCGCTTCGAGAGCGACTGCTGCAGGGCAGGGCCTGGTTTGGGCCTCTCACCTGCAGCTCGGCTCTGCGCCGATGCAGGGTTTAAGGGGAGTTTCGGCCGTTAGGGGGGTTAGGGTTTAGGGTTTAGGGTTTAGGGTTTAGGGTCTAGGGTCTAGGGTCTAGGGTTTAGGGTTTAGGGTTTAGGGTTTAGCTTTTGGGCTTTAGGCTTTAGGCCTGTAGGGGTTGGATGTTGGGATGCCCTTGCAGTACCCTTTCTGAGCAGGATGCTCAGCCCTAATGCCGACACTCCTCAACACATCTGAACCCCTGCGCCCATCTACCCCCCCAAACACCTCAACTCCTAAACCCTGAACCCGTAAACCCTGACCCCGAAACCCATGTAAACCCATCCAAACCCTCATGATTTCATGATGCTGAACACGCACCGCGCTGCCGAAGTCAGCGATACTCGACACCAAAGCCCTAAACTCTCAACTCGAAACACCCAACCCCAAATCTCGAAGCCCAGAACCCCCAAAAGCACTAAACCCTAAACCTCAGGGCCCCAAAACCTCCGAAAGCAACTTCATAGGGCCTCCCGCTCCCACAGAGCACGCTCTTCGGGAGTTTGTGCCTGTATCCGGGAGGCCGCTCAGGGTTTCGGGCCTTTAGGGTTTAGGGTTTAGGGTTTAGGGTTTAGGGTTTAGGGTTAGGGTTTAGGGTTTAGGGTTTAGGGTTTAGGGTTTAGGGTTTAGGGTTTAGGGTTTAGGGTTTAGGGTTTAGGGTTTAGGGTTTAGGGTTTAGGGTTTAGGGTTTAGGGTTTAGGGTTTAGGGTTTAGGGTTTAGGGTTTATGTTTTAGGGTTTAGGTTTTAGGGTTTAGGGTTTAGGGTTTAGGGTTTAGGGTTTAGGGTTTAGGGTTTAGGGTTTAGGGTTTAGGGTTTAGGGTTTAGGGTTTAGGGTGCAGGATTTGACCCAAGTGTTGAGCAAAAACCGCGGAGGACTTGAAGAAGACGCCGCACCTCCACCCCTGCCCCTTCTCGACCCTCACAACTCCGAATCCAGGTGTCTTAAGCTGACTTTCTAGGGGTTGTACCTTGGAACCTTAAGGTTGTACCCTTGAGTTTTGAGCCCTGTTTAAAGATGCTTGGGCCATATTTGGAGCATATGAACGGAGGGGCCTTTGCGGGTACGAGCCTGAATCCCTTGAGACTTGGCGAAAAAGGGGGCCGGGGGCCTAAGCCCTAAACCCTAAGACCTCTTGGGGTGTAATGATGAAAGGGGTTGAGGTGCTTAGAAGCCACGCAAGCAACGAAACCTCGGGGCTTCGTAGTGCCTTTCAAAGTCTAGGGCTTAGGGTTTAGGGTTTAGGGCTTAGGGCTTAGGGCTGAGGGCTTAGGATGTCGGGTTTAGGGCCATTCCCTCGCGCGATCCTGAACAGGCTTCGCGTTGGGCTGTTGAGGAGTGCAAACTACTGATCTAGTCCTACGATTAAGCACACCCAAAAAAATATGTCTGAAAATGATGCTGTAACTTTTTTGGGGTGGCGTTCTTGAGCAAATAGTAGAAGATGGCTCCACATGCTAGAAAGCAAGTTCGCGTTCCTTAACAACACGACGACTCAAGAGCTGTTCTTCAGCCCTTTTTCAGGGTTTCGGGTTGAGGGTTTAGGGTTTAGGGTTTCGGGGGGCCTCGCTGGCAACACGCTGGATATTCTGCTGGAATTTCTGGGCGGCCAGCTCCTCCGATCGCCTTGCCGCAGGTCTCATCTTGCACATCCAGAAGCAACACCCCGCGCCCAACCCAGACCCCTGGGAGGATCCAAAAAATAGCACCCCCAAATAGTACCCTATACTACTATCCTAAACCCTACACCCTAAACCCTGCACCCTTAAGGGGATCTGTTTTTTTTGGATCCTCCCAGGGGTCTGGGAAGGAATAGAACCTCAAGATCCGGTCACAAAGCCAAAAGCCACAACCCCGAAAACCTGAAGCCTCAATACTAAACCCTAAACCCTAAACCCTAAACCCTAAACCCTAAACCCTAAACCCTAAACCCTAAACCCTAAACCCTGAACCCTGAACCCTGAACCCTGAACCCTGAACCCTAGAGCTCTTGGATTCCGGGGACAACTGTGGGTTAGGGGCCTAGGGGTGTTTGGGGCGCTGGGTTGAAGGTTCAGGGTTTTAAGGTTTGGGCTTGAAAGGTTGGTGTTGGGTGTTTTCGATCTCTCTGGTATTACGACGTGGCTTCCGAGCTTAGAGAAGTCAAGAAGCCTACATGCAAGGTGTCCGAGACGATCTGCAGGCCGCTAAATGTCACCTGCCAAGCTGCTAGTACTCTTGGCACCCAGAAGAACCAAGAACAAAGCAACTAAACCCGAAGCCGTCAGCCCCAAGCCCCAAGCCCTAAACCTTCAGCCCCAAGCCCGAAGCCCGAAGCCCCCAGCCCTAAGCCCTAGTTACAACCTAAACCAAAACCCCGAAGGGATTCCAGGGTTTGCGGGTTTTGTTTTTTTGGGAGCAGAACCAAACACAGCCCTCTAAACCTAAAAAACCCTAACCCTAAACCCTAAACCCTAGACCCTAGACCCTAAACCCTAAACCCTAAACCCTAAACCCGAAACCCTAAACCCTAAACCCTAAAGAGCAGAACCAAACAAACACGATCCTGGCTCACCGTGCCTGCGCCGAGCGATGCCCCGCTTCGCGCGCCGCTGCTGGTTCTGGCCAGGCGGCGTTGGATGCAGGGACTTAGGGTTTTGGGGGTTTTGGGGGTTTTGCGGGTTTTTGGGGGTTTTGGGGGTTTTGCGGGTTTTTGGGGCTTTTGGGGGTTTTGGGGGTTTTTGGGGGGTTTTGGGGGTTTTGGGGGTTTTGGGTCCAGGGGTTTAGGGTTTAGGGTTTATCATGGAGATATTATTGGAGGGGGGTCTAGCAAAGGGGGGGGGCGGGGGTTCTGAGTAGCTCAAAAAAGCCTTGGCTAAGCGCTCGGACCGCGACAGCTTCTCGACAAGAACTGTTTTGGAGTGCTTGCTGAGGGCTTGCTAAGCAACAGACACCCCTCCCAGAACATCCCCCTCATGAGTTTATGGTTTGGGGGTCAGGGGTTAGGGTTGAGGGTTGAGGGTTGAGGGTTGAGGGTTGAGGGTTGAGGGTTGAGGGTTGAGGGTTGAGGGTTGAGGGTTGAGGGTTGAGGGTTGAGGGGTTGAGGGTTGAGGGTTTAGGGCTTGGACTTTAAAGTGGTGGGGCCTCCAAGCGCCTGCGCACGTCGCGGCGGGGCCTCGGGTTGTGCGGGCGATCCAGGGGTTGAAACCTGAAACTTGGGATGTTCCCCCTGTTTTTCTAACAGTCCTTAATAGGGATTCTAGTACTCCGGATTATAATCCCTATTAAGGACTCTTCGTGTATATACGGGGGAACATCCCAACCTTGAACCCCCCGGACCCTTGAACCCCTAAACCCTGAAACCCAGAACCCAATTTAGGGTTTAGGGTTTAGGGCTTCGGGGTTAGGGCTTAGGATTTCGGGTTTAGGGTTTAGGGTTTAGGGTTTAGGGTTTAGGGTTTGGGGTTTGGGGTTTGGGGTTTTGGGTTTAGGGGTAAGCCCTTCATTTCAAAAAAAAGGGTGGGAAGCGGAGGAGCTTCTCTGGGATCCGCCTTTGCGGGGCCCTGGGCCTGGGGAAGGTTTGGGGCGCAGGTTATTTGGGGGGCTTCTTCGGGGTTTCGGGCTTAGGGTTAGGGGCAGGTTATTTGGGGGGGCTTCTTCGGGGTTTCGGGCTTAGGTTTAGGGTCTTGGGTTTAGGATTTAGGGCTTAGGGCTTGGGGCCAGGTTCGGGTTTGGGGGGCAGGGACGGTGGAGGGTGGGTTCAGGGCATTTCGCGGCTTGCTCTTTCAGGTGCGAGGGGCACATGAGCCTTTTCCCCTAAAACCCAAAAGACCCTGACACTACCCTTGAACCTTCAAAACCAACAGCGCGACTAAAACCCCTCAACCTCTGCACTCCTGCGACGCTACACTCTTGCAAGGCTTGCAAGCATGTACCCCTAAACCCGACTCCCAAAACCCCTAAGCCTAAACCCTAAACCCTAATGCAAGTAGGTATCCTGGGCTCCTGGGTCCCTGGCTGCTGCTGCCGCCGCCAAGAGCGGAAGTCCTTGTGACTTCCGAGGGGCTTGGGGGCTTTAGGGTTTGGGGTTTAGGGCTTAGGCTTTAGGGCTTAGGGTTTAGGGTTTAGGGTTTAGGGTTTAGTACGGGTTTAGGGTTTGGGGTTTGGGGTTTAGGGATTAGGGTTTGGGGTTGGGGGTTTGAGGTTTGGGGTTTGGGGTTTGGGGTTTGGGATTTGGGGTGTGGGATTTGGGGTGTGGGGTTTGGGGTTTGGGGTTTGGGGTTTGGGGTTTGGGGTTTGGGGTTTGGGGTTTGGGGTTTGGGGTTTAAGGCTTAGGGTCCTCATGTAGGGTCCAAGTTTATGGTGGGGTCTGGGGCTTAAGGCTTCGGGAACCCCAAACCTTAAGACCTACTCTGAGGCTGCGAGGCTCCAGGAGCTTTAGGGGCTTCAGGGCTTCAGTTGTCGGGTTCGGGGTTCTGGGTGGCATGGGTACACGAGCGTGTAGGGAATCGAGGGCCCTTCAACTCTAAAGCCCTCTAGCCGAAATCCCAAAACCTAATCGGTTTTGGGGGGAGTTGGGGATCTAAAGGTTTTGGGGTTCAGGTGCGCCGATACAGGCAGAAAGGGATTTGGGACGAAAACCTTCAATTTTGCAGGGGCGTCAGGCTGGCCTAACCCCCGCCTTACACCCTAAACCCTCAGCCCTAAACCCTAAACCCTCAACCCTAAACCCTACACCTTAAACCCTAAACCCTAAACCCTAAACCCTAAACCCTAAACCCTAAACTCAGCCTCTAAAACCTCAACCCCTATTAAACCTCCCCCCGGCTCCCCAGCAAGGCCTCCAGGGTCGTCGCGCTCTTCTTCGTCGGCTCTGAGGGGGCCTGCGAGACACAAATACAAAGGGTTCAGGGTTTAGGTTCAGGGTTTAGGGTTTAGGGTTTAGGTTTTTGGGTTTAGGGTTTAGGGTTTAGGGTGTAAATATCCATCATTTGGAGAACTCACCGTATCAATCCGTCAAAAGCATCTAAACCCTTTAGCCCAAACTCATCCTGAACTTAAGCGCACCAAAACTTTTTCCCCAAAGTCCAAAACCCGTCTTGTCCCCTAAGCCCTAAACCCTAAACCCAGAAACCTAAGACCTAAACCCTAAACCCTAAGCCCTAAGCCCTAAACCCTAAACCTAAACCCTAAACCATAAACTCTTGGACCCGAGAATCTCGCCTTCACCTCGGGCGGCGCTTCCGCGACGACCGGCTCGGCTGGTGGCTCGCGTCCCTGGAGAAAGACTTAGGGTTTAGGGTTTAGGGTTTAGGGTTTAGGGTTTAGGGTTTAGGGTTTAGGGTTTAGGGGTTAGGGGTTAGGGGTTTAGGGTTTAGGGTTTAGGGGTTTAGGGGTTTAGGGGTTTAGGGGCTTAGGGGCTTAGGGGCTTAGGGGCTTAGGGGCTTAGGGGCTTAGGGTTTAGTGAGGCTTCGGGCTTTTGTGGGCCGTCACTTTGCTGAGGGCAAGCGTCCGGATGCATGGTTTGGGGGCCGAGATTCTGCGATGTCGAACCCTAAACCCTAAACCCTAAACCCTAAATCCTAAACCCTAAACCCCCCCACCCCAGCGCCAGCCTCCAGATGCGCCATGGCCCTGTCATAGGCGCGATTGAGAGAGAGGAACCTGCGCACTGGGGCATACGAGGCTGTTTAGGGTTCAGGGTTTAGGAGGGTTTATGGTTTCGGGTTTAGGGTTTAGGGTTGAGGGTTGTGGGTTTAGGGTTTAGGGTCTAGGGATTTCCGTTTGGGTCCTTCGGGCTGAGGGGCAGAGGGTGTGGGTTCCATGCTCACACTCAAGCCCTAAACCCTCAACCCCCCCTGCACATCCTAAATGATCTAAACCAGAAACACCTAAAGCCCCAAAACCCCAGAACCCTAACACCCTAAAACCCTAAAACCCCAAGACTCCTAAACCCCTAAAGCCCTCAAACCCTCAAACCCTCAAACCCTCAAACCCTCAAACCCTCAAACCCTCAAACCCTCAAACCCTCAAACCCTCAAACCCTCAAACCCTCAAACCCCACACCCCCCAAAAAAAAAAAAAAAAAACGTAAAAGCCCTCTGTCGACTCTCGCGATCACCACCCACCCATGTCGAAACCCTTGAACCCTTAAACCCTAGACCCTAAACCCTAATCCTAAACCCTAAACCCTAAACCCTAAACCCTAAACCCTAAACCCTAAACCCTAAACCCTAAACCCTAAACCCTAAACCCTAAACCCTAACCCCCTGAACACTAAGCCCTTAATCCCCTCAGAAGCCCTCGGCGGCCTCTCGGGGTCGCCACCCATGTCTGGGTGGCTGCCGCGGACGCGCGCGCGGAACGCGCGACGCACCTGAGGCCGAGAAGGTCTGCAGGGGCTGAGGGCTTAGGGTTTGGGGTTCAGGGTTTAGGGTTTGGGGTTTTGGAGGGTTTTTTGGGGGTTTAGGGTTTAGGGTTTAGGGTTTAGGGTTTAGGGTTTAGGGTTTAGGGTTTAGGGTTTAGGGTTCAGGGTTTAGGGTTTAGGGTTTGGGGTTTGGGGTTTGGGGTTTAGGGTTTCGAGTTTAGGGTTTAGGGCTTAGGGGGCTTTGGGAGTTCTGAGAAATCTTCCGGGCGTTGGAGAGCTTTAGAAGGCTTATGGTTTGTAGGGCTTTAGGCCCTAATCCCTAAACCCTAAACCCTAAACCCTAAACCCTAAACCCTAAACCCATTGGGGAGTAGTCCGGATTGTTTCGCACAGCCGGCACTCTGCACCCTCGACCCCTACGCGAAGCGCAAACCCAAACTCAAGCCTCAAGGGTTCAGGGTTTAGGGGTTAGGGTTTAGGGTTTAGGGTTTAGGGTTTAGGGTTTAGGGTTTAGGGTTTAGGGTTTAGGGTTTAGGGTTTATCGGCTTTAGAATCTTAGAAAACAGGATTAGGGTTCGGGATTAGAGTTTTTGAGCTTGAGGGCTTAGGGTTTGCATAGAGTTCAGGAGTACTTGGTATCGGCCTTCCTCAGCACAAGGATTTCTTGAGGCCACGTAGACGCCACAAGGTGCAGAGTTGAGATGTGCATTGGGAAGACGATGCTCGGAAAAGCGCCTCGTGAGCCCACTCCTCTAAACACGGCCTGTCGGAAACCCTTAACCCTAAACCCAAACCCCTAAACCCTCAACCCTAAACCCTAAACCCTAAGCCCTAAGCCCTAACCCTAAACCCTAAACCCTAAACCCTAAACCCTAAACCCTAAACCCTAAACCCTAAACCCCTGAGGCCAGAAGAAGCCCAAGCCAGCCCGGGAGCCTCCGTGGCACTCGCGGCCTTCGAGATTCCCAACACCTCGGCCGCTTTGAGGCTGGGGGGTTTAGGGTTTAGGGTTTAGGGTTTAGGGTTTAGGGTTTAGGGTTTAGGGTTTAGGGTTTAGGGTTTAGGGTTTAGGGTTTAGGGTTTAGGGTTTAGGGTTAGGTTTAGGGTTTAGGGTTTAGGGTTTAGGGTTTAGGGTTTAGGGTTTAGGGTTTAGGGTTTAGGGTTTAGGGCTTAGGGTTTAGGGTTTAGGGTTTAGTTTAGGGTTTAGGGTTTAGGGTGTAGGGTTGAGGGTTGAGGGTTGAGGGTTGAGGGTTGAGGGTTGAGGGTTGAGGGTTTAGGGTTTAGGGTTTAGGGTTTAGGGTTTGGGGTTTTCTGGAAGTAATAACCATTAGGAAGGAGAGGACCAAGCGTAACAATAAGCAGAATAGTAAGAACAAGAAGGATAGTAAGAAGTATAAACCCCACACCCCAGGACTCAGTCCAACGCAGCCCGAAAGCCCAATTCTTCAGACCGAACACACAGCTCAGCTACCAGAAAGCCAGAAGCCCGAAGGCACTAAGCACGAATTGAATAAAGGGGATTTGTGTTCGGGGTTTAGGGTTTAGGGTTTAGGGTTTAGGGTTTAGGGTTTAGGGTTTAGGGTTTAGGGTTTAGGGTTTAGGGTTTAGGGTTTAGGGTTTAGGGGTTAGGGGTTGGGGGTTGGGGGTTAGGGTTGTTTAGGGTTTAGGGTTGAGGGTTTAGGGTTTAGGGTTGAGGGTTTAGGTTTAGGGTTTAGGGTTTAGGGTTTAGGGTTTAGCGTTTAGGGTTTAGGGTTTAGGGTTTAGGGTTTAGGGTTTAGGGTTTAGGGTTTAGGGTTTAGGGTTTAGGGTTGCCGCCAGAATGTCGTGGGTATACAGTACAAGCACAAGCACAAGAAACCAAAAGCTTCAATCGAAAATGACCCGGTTTAGAACTTATACCTAAATCCCCCAAGTACCGTGCAAGATGTTTCGAAGATGCCCAAGACACCCCCTTACCCAACGTACCTGCACCCTAAACCCTAAAACTTAAACCCTAATGAACTAAACCCTAAATCCCGTAACCCTGTAAACCATATAAACCTAAGACCCTCAAACCTAACCTAAACCAAAACCTTGAAGCCGTAAAAACCAAAGAACATGAAGCCTAAACACCCCATGAAAACCTGAAGCCTAGAAACCCTAAACCCTAAAAACCTAAAAAAAACTGAAAAAACACCTTTCAAACCCTGGAAAAAACCCTGCAGCAACCCTGTAAAACAACCCTTACAAACCCTACAGCCCAACAAAACTGCGTTAAAACAAAAACCTAAACCTGCTTTTAAAAAAATAAAAAAACCTAAAAACCTAAAGACCCTAAACACCACAAAGCCCTAAAACACCGTTCTGCGCCTGTTAAACCCAAACCCCGAAAAATCCTATCAAGCCCTTACAAAACCAAAAAAACCATAAGCCCTAGAACCCCAAACCCTGCAAGCCCTATAAACTTCAACCCAAAAAAACCTCATTGAAACACTACTAAACCCTCTAAAAACCCGAACTAAACCCTGAGAGCACTGCTAAACCCTCAGGCCAAAAGGGCCCTTTAAACAGAAAACAAATCTGCAACACTTAAGCCCTGCACCCTCAAAAAAAGGCCCCCCCCCCCCCCCCGCCCAAAAAAAGGACCCCACTTGAGAGCAGGTGGGACTCTGGGAGCAATGGCCACCCAGGGGTCCTCTTCGCCGCGTTCCGTGGCGCGCACCTGTGGGGTTTGGGGGGGTTTGGGGGTTTGGGGCTTTGGGGCTTTGGGGCTTTGGGGGTTTGGGGGTTTGGGGGTTTGGGGGTTTGGGGCTTGGGCGCTTTGGGGGTTTGGCGGTTTGGCGGTTTGGGAGGTTTGGGGGATTTGGGGGTTGTGGGGGTTCGGGGGTGGGGGGTTTGGGGGTTTGGGGGTCGGGGGGTGGGTGGTTTTTGGGGGGGGTTAGGGGTTCGGGGGTTCGGGGTTTTGGGGTTTGGGGTGTGGGGGTTTGGGGTTGGGGGGTTGGGGGGTTGGGGGTTTGGGGGTTTTGGGGCTTTGGGGCGTTGGGGCTTGGGGGTTTGGGGGTTGGGTTTGGGTTTGGGGCTTGGAGGATTTGGGGGGCCTGGGGGTTGGGAGGTCGGGGGTTCGGGGGTTGGGGGGTTTTTGGGGGTTTGGGGGTTTGGGGGTTTTGGGGGTTCGGGGGTCGGGGTTCGGGGCGTTCGGGGGTTCGGGGGTTCGGGGTTGTTGGGTTTGGGGGTTAGGGGTTTGGGTTGGGGGTGTGGGGGTTTGGGGGTTTTGGTGTTGGGGGTTGGGGGTTTGGGGGGTTGGGGTGTTTGGGGGTTGGGGGTTTGGGGGGTTGGGGGTTTGGGGTTTGGGGTTTGGGGGTTTGGGGTTTGGGGTTTGGGGGTTTGGGGGTTTGGGGGGTTTGGGGTTTGGGGGTTGGGGGGTTGGGGGTTGGGGGTTTGGGGGTTTGGGTTTGGGGGTTGGGGTTGGGGGTTGGGGGTTGGGGGTGGGGGGAGGTTTGGGGGGTGGGGGTTTGGGGGTTTGGGGGTTTGGGGGTTGGGGGTTTGGGGGTTTGGGTTTGGGGGGTTGGGGTTTGGGGGTTTGGGGGTTGGGGGTTGGGGGGGGTTTGGGGGTGGGTTGGGGGGTTTGGGGGTTTGGGTGTTTGGGGGTTTGGGGGTTTGGGGTTTGGGGGTTAGGGTCTGGGGGGTTTGGGGGTTTGGGGGTTTGGGGGTTTGGGGGTTTGGGGGTTTGGGGTTTAGGGTCTGGGGTTTGGGGTTTGGGGGTTTGGGGGTTTAGGGTTTAGGGCTTATTGGTCAGATCCCGACCCTTGGGACGGAAGAGCCCACGAACGCTGAACTGCAAATGATGGAAAATGGGATTTAGGGTTTAGGGTGTTTTAGGGTTAGGGTCTAGGGAGAGGGTTTCTAGACCCCAAAGTAGCATAGGAACAAACAGGGCAACCCTGGAAGAAGGGAATAAGGGCATACCCTGGGTCCTTGCTTTTGGGCCGTTGGGTGTAGGTAGGGCTTAGGAGTGTAATATATAAGGGCCTGAGTAACTACAACGGGACCAGAAGGGAATACTAGTAGTAATTATTCCGACCCCTATATTCAGTAGGGCTTCGGGGCTTTCAGCCCCAAAATCCTAAACCCCATCGTCCCAAAGCCAAAGCGCCGCGACTTTTTTTCGCAGCTGCGCGGGCACTGTGGACTTGGGCTATGTACCAGCCGGTGGAGACAAGGGGGGACCGCCCAGAGGTCTTAGGATTTAGGGGTAGGCACCTGGGCTGCAGGTTTGGGGTTTCGGGATTGGGGCTTAGGTTCCCTCAGGGTTCTTTAAGACTCTTAGTTGCCCTCAGGGTTCTTTAAGACTCTTAGGTTCCCTCAGGGTTCTTTAAGACTCTTAGGTTGAGAGCACACACTTCTAGTGTAGGTTTCACGGGACTGCTTGTGTTGCTGAGATCATGTTCGCCTCGTAACCATACGCACTAGCCGCTGCTGCGGAAAGCTCCCCTTTGGCATGGGGCTATTCCCGCCTTGAACCGTCGGCTTGAGCCCTAAACCTACTAAGGTTTAGGGTTTGGGGTTTAGGGTCGGGGTTTAGGGGTTGGGGGTTAGGGTTTAGGGATTAGGGCTTGCTTGGGAGTGGGGTTGCGGCCCCTCCTTTCCCCACGTCCATCAGGCGTGTCCCCACGGCGGCCATTTGTGTCCTCATACGCAGGCCCTAAACTCTAAACCCCTCAACCCAAATCCCCAAAACATAAACCCTAAACCCCAAGAAAATCTGGGGATAGGGCTTAGGGTTTGGGGCTTGGGGTATCCGTACGGCACTGTTTTGGGTTTTGGGGCTTAGGAACTCCCCCGACAACCCCTAAACCCCACACCCTAAACCCTAATCCACATGTAGTCTCTTTTCGGGAGTGGAGAGGGGAGATAGGGTTTTAGGGCTAAGGGTTTTGGGGTGAAAGCCCAGGTCCGTCTTGAGCAGCTGACAGTTGAACCCTAAAACCTAAACTTCCCCTGGACCATAAACAAAAAACCCTAAACCGTAAACTTTAAACCCAAAATACCCTAAACACGTTTTTCCCCTAAACCCTCCAAACCCTATATTCCCTAAGCCTGAGACCCCTTTTACCCTCAACCCTACACCAACTCCTTTCCCTAAATCCTAAACCCCAAACCCCAAACCCTAAACCCTAAACTCCCCAAAACCCAAACTGGGTGTTGCTTTAAAGCCCTTTGAGAAATAAAATTTATGAATGGGTTCCCTTAAGAAGGAAAGAAGGGAAATTCAAAATTATCCCCAAGCAATACCCAGCAAAACACCCCCGGCCGGGGGGCCTTAGGCCGCGCAGTCGGCCCTGAGCGCCTCCATGGCTGCGGCGACTTCCGGATCATCCTGGTTTTGGGGGGACTTAGGGTAGGGTTTAGGGTTTAGGGTTTTGGGTTTAGGGTTTAGGGTTTTGGGGTTTAGGGTTTAGGGTTTAGGGCTTCGGGTTTCGGGCTTAGGGTTTCGGGTTTCGGGTTTAGGATTTAGGGGTTAGGGTTTCGGGGTTAGAGTTAGGGTTTAGGGTTTAGGGTTTAGGGTTTCGGATTTGAGGTCGAGGGTGCCTCGATGAGGGTGCTTTGGTTCTAGAAGCACCTAGGATCGCAAAATTGAATGGAAAGAACCCAGCGCATGTTCTAGGCCCAGGGTTTTGGGGTTTGCGGTTTGGCTGGGACTTGGGGGGATTGTCCTCCTCAAGGCCCACAACCTCACGCAATGGTGCCGCAAAATACCTTGAACCCTAAACCCTCGAACCCCTAAACCCTGAACCCTACACCCTAAACCCTGGAACCCTAAACCCTAAACCCTAAACCCTAAACCCTAAACCCTAAACCCTAAACCCTAAACCCTAAACCCTAAACCCTCCCCTCAGGGTCCTACGAAAAGAGCCCCCGCCCGAGCCTTGCAGGGCGTGAGCGTGACCAGCCAAGCGAAGTTCATGTGCTCCTGTGCTTTGGCTTGCTCTGAGGCTTAGGGCCTCGGGCGCCTGGAGACCTTGGGGGCCTTTGGGTTTAGGGTTTAGGGTTTCGGGCCAGGGTTTAGGGCTAGGGTTTAGGGTTTAAGTTTAGGCGTTTCGGGGTTTAGGGATTTAGGGTTTTAGGTTGGGATGTTCCCCCCTTGTACTAAAAGTCCGTAATGGGGATTATAATCGGGGGTACTACCCCGATTAAGGACTGTTAGACTGTTAGTATAAGGGGGAACACCCCGAGTTTTAGGGTTTTCGGGTTGAGCGTGTCTGGGGTACGAGACTTCACGTGGGCACCCGGAAGCAACGGCCGACCTGTCGGCCCGCCAGAATCCAATCCCCAGCCAGCCCCTTGTTGCGGACACGACTCCCTAAACCCTAAACCACAAGAAGCAAACACATGCTAGCCTCGACCCACCCCCCCCCCTCAAAAAAAGAAACAGCATCAATCTAAGCTGCAACCCTAAGCCCTAAACCCTCAACCCCTCAACCCTCAACCCTAACGACCCTGGCGCCGATGGACCCTGGGCCCCATTTTTGCAGACGCGGAGCCAGAGCTGCGTGGAGGTTCTCAGGCAGCTCCATCTGAATCGGGTTTAGGGTGTAGGGTTTAGGGTTTACAGCTTCCTAAACTGCAAACCCACTTGAAGGATCATGGGAGCTTCTAGGTAGAGTGATAAGCAGGAAAAATTTGGTTCTAACTTTACTCAGGGCACTTTTAGTCCTACTTATGAGTACCCAGGAACCTCCAAGTAAACCATCCCAAACCCGAAACCGCCCGTCATGGTAGCTTTGGGATCATGAAGATCCAACCCAAGGCCCTGGAGCACCAACATCATCCCCAAGCCACTATAAACGCCCAACCCTCGAGCTGACACCCTACACCCCCTCTAAACCTGCAGCCCTCAAAAGCAACCCTTTCCCCCCCCCCCCCCCCCCCCCCAAAAAAAAAAAGGACATCCTAAGCCCTCTAGACCCTAAACCCTGTATAAAATCCCCCAAACCCTAAACTCTAAACTCTAAACTCTAAACCCTAAACCCTAAACCCTAAACCTTACACTTTGAATAGCCCTAAACCCTGGGGGCCAAGCCTGGCTGGCGCCGCGCGAGGCGAGGCAGCGGGCGCTGAGAAGACCCAGCACCTGTGAGGCGATTCTGGGCTTTGGGGTTTTATAACGAGCCCGCGAGGCATGAATATAATGAATAAGGCATGAACGAAGTACAGGAACAAAGTGAATGCAGCATATTTTGTATTACTAATGAAATCTCATTTACAATCATATCCTTGTCCTTTGATCATAAATTTTTTTTGGAATATTGGCTTTTTATTAGGAATTACTATTTTATTACAAATTATTACAGGAATCTTCTTAGGTTTACATTATACATCAGATATTAATTCAGCATATTTTCTCTTTTCTTTTTAATTAGAGAAATATATTATGGATGGTGTTTACGCTATCTTCATTCTAATGGTGTATCATTTGTCTTTCTTTTTATATTTCTTCATCTTGGAAGAGCTATATCTTATGCTTCATATTTGTATAATCCAAATACTTGGTTTTCTGGAATTATTATTTACTTCTTCTTAATGGGAACAGCATTTATGGGTTATGTTTTACCTTTAGGACAAATGAGTTTATGAGGAGTTACAGTAATTACAAATTTATTATCTCCATTTCCATCTTTAATAGAATGGCTTTGTGGAGGACATTATATTTACAATCCAACA